ATAATCCTCAGAAAATGTAATAAAGGCCAGAGGGACAGAGCCTACACTCCAGCAGTATGGGCTGGCTCTGGCCCAGCCCTTGCCCTGACTGATTCTAGTCCAACAGCAGCCATAGTTGTTGATAATGTTTCTTTCCTAAAGACATACACACATGTGGGGTTGGGGTATAGTTCAGTGGTAGAGTGTGTGCTTAGCATGCAGAAGACCTGGGATTCAATCCCCAGCATGCATGTGTGCATGTGTGTGTGCATGCACACACACGTACACACACACACACAAAGAATTTTTGAAATTAAAGATATGTAGCTGGGGCTGGGAATGTGGCTCAAGCCGTAATGCTCTCGCCTAGCATGCGCGGGGCGCTGGGTTCGATCCTCAGCACCACATAAAAATAAAGACGTTGTGTCCACCGAAAACTGGAAAAAAAAAAAAAGACATGTAGTTGGGCATGGTGGCACACTCCTGTAATCCCAGCTACTCAGGAGGCTTAGGCAGGAAGAGAACAGGTTCAAGGCCAACCTGAACAACTCAGCAAGATCCTGTCTCAAAAAAAAAAAAAGATTGAGGCTGCTGCTGGGTAGTAGAGCACTTGCCTGGAATGTGCAAGACCCTGGTTTTAATCCCTAACACTGCAAAAAATAATAAATAGATTAAGAAATTAATAAGCAAATAACAGATGCATGGTTAAACAAAACAAGAACAAAATACCTTACCCTGCTACATTGCTCCTCCTTGACCCCTCCATCCCAATCCTCCTTCATCTCAGGCCCCTACCCAGAACCTAAAGCACAAACTGGACTGGACTGGCACATTCTGAGTTCCCCAGAATTTGCCTTCCTTCCTCCTTGACTGCCCACACTGTTCCCTCTCCAAAATTGCCTTCTCCTCTCCTCTGATGAACTCCTACAGGCCTGTCTGTCCTCAGTTCCTGCCACCTCCCTCCATGAGGATTGGAAGTAGGACTGACTATCCCAGAGCTTGGAAAAAGAACAAAATAGGCAACAAATTCAGCAACTCAAGGAGGGTTAAAGCTGGCCTGAAGAGGCTGGCGGAACTGAAACTGGCCTGGAACACCTAGTTGGAAAGCTCCAGATAATCTGGTGAGTGCTAGGGATACAGTGGTCAGATCTATGTAGACCTGGGCTGGGAAGAGGCTGGGCTGCAATTGCCAGGATGAGGCAAGGAGTCAAGGATTGGGGTGGGAGATGAGGCTTTGTCCAGTCTCCCCAACCTAGGGAATCTTCCAATCTACACTTCCGATGAAAAAATAACCATGCTGCTGGGGACATCATTCAACATAGATCAGATGATGGTCATGCTGTACCTGCCTCTCAATGTTTACTGGGATTAGTTATTTAAAATGATGTCTCCCCAACAGGAAATCCACCTCAGCCTTTAGGAAAAAGGCCAGAATCTTGTTTCCCACCAGAACAAAGTTCAGCGAGGGACCTTGTAGACATCAGACTGGCCTCCAGGGGGCAATAGTGTCAACCCCAACATTAGCTATTGAAGTTCCTTATTTTCTTAGCTAAAAAAGGACCTTCAGCCAGCACTGAAAATCACACCATGGAAAACACACAGCCACAAAAGCCCTATGGGATGGAGAATGCCTGTAATCCCAGAAACTGTAAAGGCTGAGGCAGGAGGATGGCAAGTTCAAGGCCAGCCTTAGCAGCTTAGTGAGACCCTCAAAACTTAGCAAGACACTGTCTCAAAAAAGTTCTAAGGATAAATTCCCATTAATTTGATCCTCAGTACCACAAAAATGAAATAAAAATAAAAAAGGACCTGCATACCTCTTCTTGGAAACCCTAGGGTGATAGAAGTAGGGAACGGGAAACTGACAGAAGGGAGTAAAGGTAAAGAAGTCCAGGACAAGCTTGCTGCATGGTGGGGTGCTCCAGGACTGGAGGTGCCTAGGGATTCATCTTTCCCAAACTATATGCTGATTCCTGTTACTGCTTCTCCAATCTCAACCCCCACCCTATTTTGGGGGTGTCTGCTGGATCTGGAGTCTCTCAACTACCCCAGGTCACCTCACCACATTTGGTACTATAAAGGCTGCTAGAATGCTGTTGCCTTTCTAAAATGAATCTTGGGGCAAGATCAGGACAACAGGCTGCCCAAGGCTTAGAGCCTTCCTGGGACCTCCTGGGCTCTCTAGTCCACATGCACCAACCCCAAACTGGAGGACCCTTTATGAGGCACTTTTCCTAGACTGCTTTTGTTCTATGAAGATCTTGCATCTTCTGCCCTTTGGGACAGCAAGAACCTTGAGCCCAGACCCCAGGGCCAAGAGTGTCATGATAAAATTGCCCTATATCAGGGACTGTACTTGTACCATGTCAGAATGTCTCTTGAGGTTATCAGCCTCCTCAGGCCCCCACTGTCTTGGCCCCACAGTTTAATCACTGGCACCCCAAACTCAGCAGCCTGCACCCCACTTCCTGAGTACCCCCTATGTTCCCTGCCTGGCTCTGCACCTGTGAGGATGTCCTGACAGCAGTCCCAGAGGGAGGACACTACAATTATACCATGTGTCCTAGGGAAGCTGGGGCAGAGGGGTTCACTGACTTCCAGTATCACAGAGAGGAACCTGAATTCTGCACTGGAGACCATGCAGCCTTGGCAGGCCTCTACCCTACTACTCCCACACCTCCACATTTTAGTCCAGCACAGCAGAACAAGCCTGACAGGGTTCAAGTCTTGGCTCTGCCATGTTCCAGCTTTGTGGCCTTGGGGAGTCCCCAAGTTTTAGGGCTGGGATGTGGCTCAGTAGTAGAGCACTTGCTTAGCATGTATAAGAACCTAAGTTCAATCCCCAGCATTGCCAAAACAACAATAACAACAACAACAAAAAGGAACCTTAGTTTCCCCATCTATAAAATGGAGATGATACAAAGAGAGCCTTCCTCTTGGGTTATTGTGAAGGTTAAAAGAATAAATGCATGTGTGGGCTGTGGCTGTGGCGCAGAGGTAGAGCGCTTGTCTTGCACATGCGAGACCCTGGGTTTGATACTCAGCACCACATAAAAATAAATAAAGATATTGTGTCCAACTACAACTAAAAAATAAGGGGCTGGGGATGTGGCTCAAGTGGTAACGCGCTCGCCTGGCATGCACAGGGCGCTGGGTTCGATCCTCAGCACCACATACAAATAAAGATGTTGTGTCCACCGAAAACTAAAAAAGTAAAAATATTTTAAAAAATCTATCTTAAAAAAATTTAAAGGGGCTGGGGATGTAGTTCAAGTGGTAGCGCGCTTGCCTGGCATGCGCAGAGTGCTGGGTTTGATCCTCAGCATCACATAAAAATAAAATAAAGATGTTGTATCCACCGAAAACTAAAAAAATAAATATTAAAAAAATTCTCTCTCTTCTCTCTAAAAAAATAAAATATAAATAAATATTTTTTTTAAAAAAGAATAAATGCATGTGAAGTCATAGCCATGGTTATTTATGTGGTACACTGTCTTTCTGGCTAGGGTTAGGGTGGTATGGGGGTAGGGCAACAAGATTGGCTAGTTGAAGGCCAAGGGCACCAGGCCCAAGCAGCCCAGTAATGGGACCCCTCCTATGGCACTGAAAATCACACCATGGAAAACACACAGCCACAAAAGATTGGCCTGAGCCTAGTTACATGGGCCCCACATCACCTGCCCTGAATGTGACCCATGTAGGCCCTGGTTCTGCCACCAGGCAAGATTCAGCAACCCTCCCCTGCAGCCACCTTCCCATCTGTAAAATGGGTTGGGAGGAACTGAAGGGCCATGCTTGCCTCACAACAGAATTGGTGGATCCTGATGTGTTCAGTGATGGATGTGACCTCACTTCCTTGGAATGTAAGTTATACATTAATGCATTCCAATGGTAACTATGGCTGAGCAGGGTGGTCACAAGATTCCTGAGAGTTCAAAGCCAGCCTCAGCAATGGGGAGGCACTAAGCAACTCAGTGAGACCCTGTCTCTACATGACATACAAAAATAGTGCTGGGGATGTGGCTCAGTGGTTGAGTGTCCCTGAGTTCAATCCCTATTACTTAAAAAAAAAAAAAAAAAGTAGCTATGGTTCCAGTGTGCTGAGGGGACAAGTTTTACCTGACCACTTTACAGGGATGGATTAGAAGAGATGGACATAATCAGAACAATCCTAGCACCCAGGTGCTAGGAGCCAGAACAAGGTGGTCTGATCAGGTCTAAAGAAGCTGGTCAGGGAGCACTTCCTGGAGGAGGGAGCACAAGGTGCACCATGATTTATGGAGAACCAGGAAGTTCTGAAATAATGACAGGTGGAAAAAGAAAATGTAATAAAATAGCATTTAAAACAGACTGTGAGGTTGGGGTTGTGGCTCAGCGGTAGAGCGCACGCCTCACACGTGTGAGACTCTGGGTTCGATCCTCAGCACCACATAAAAATAAATAAGTGAAATAAAGATATTGTGTCCAAATACAACTAAAAACAAACAACAACATAAATATTAAAAAAAAAAAAAGAAAAAGAAAAAGACCTGGTATGTGATGTGTGGTGACGGGGTTGGAGGGAGTGAAGGGAACTGAGACTAAACTCCTCAAGCAGGTAAAGGTCTCCGAGCGAGCGGCTGAAAGCATGAATTGGGTTTTCTTTCTTGGGGAGGTGTCACCTAGAGGATCAGCTTAGGGAGCCCACGGATGGTTCGGAGACCCAGTGCCAGCGCGCGACCCAGTTTGGCGTCACTCGGAGGTCCCAAGGATCACCCGGGATCCAGCCGCGGCCAGGGTAGTCCACGTGCAGGACTTATGAGTCCCATGAGCTTCTCCACGCCCGGAGACTTCCATCGCGACTCCAAGGCCCCTAGCCTAACCCTTGACCCCTGGCGGTTCCCCACCTGCACCGCCCGCTTGGGCGGTGCTGGGCGCCGCGGGCTCCCCGGCCGCAGTGCCGCCGCAGCGCCGGCCCCGCCCCCGCCCGCTCCTCCCCCCCTCCCCCCCTCCCCACCGCCCGGCGGCCGCGGCCCCATCGGTTCCAGAGCCCAGGCCAGCGCAGAGTCCAGGTGAGTGCCCACCTCTGGGACCCTAGACCCCGGAACCCCCGCGGCTCCACCCAGTGTCCGGGTCTCGCCGTCCCCACGCGTGCGCTCGTGGGTCCCGGACCTAGGGCCCCTGCGTTGGGGGCGGGGTGTCTGAAGCTTCGACCCAAGAGGTGGTGGACTGGAGCGCCCCTCTTCCTTATGCCCTCCTGTGCTGGCACTCCCTCCCGGCTTCCAGCAGAATCTTGCAGTGTGCCAGTACCCCCCTTCCTGGGCTGCAGGGTCTGGTGCCGGTACTGGGACACAGCCCGCAAGGCTGATGGAAACGGATTTCCAGAACGAGAGAACTGCACGTGCAAAAGCAGGGAGAGTGGACAGGTTGGCACCAGGGCTCCATGGGGAAGGGGCCAGAGCTGAGCCCCCCTTAACTTGAATGTAGGGGTGAGGAGCTCAGATGCCATCCCCAGTGTGCCTGAAAGCCCTGAAGGCCCAAGCTGGGCAGCCTGCCCACACCCGGGAAAAGTGGGACCAGGAAGGGGAGACAGCAGAGGAGTGGGGACTGACTCTGCCAAAGGTCCAAAGAGGCTCCTACCCAGCCTTACACCCTCTGGGACTCTGGATCCCTGGGGGGCAAATAGGAGCACCTTTGTGAGGTAGGGATAATTCAGTACCTCCCTCAGGGGTTAATGGGAGTCCCTGAGACAAGACACAAAGTCCTGGTGGGTAGTTAGCTTTGGGCACTCTTGGAACTTCACAGCTGTGGGCAACTTGTAGACAAGAGACAGCGGTCTTCAAAACTTGGGGGTGCCTTCTGCCATGATCATAGCAAGGACCTTTGCTTTTGAGTGGGGGTGACTGCGATCCAAGCTGGTTAGCACCCTGTAGGTGGAAAGCCTACCTGAGAGCCTCAACTCCTGGAAAGGTGGGGAACAGCCTGACCAAGCCCATAGTAGCAAGACCAGGTCTGACCATTTCTGGGATTTATGGTCCAGCAAGTGAGTCCTGAGACCAAGCAGGAAGGAGTGGGCAGGGCTGAGGCACAGGTGAACCCAGAAGCAGGGGAAGGGTTCCCTGGTGCTCAGGGAGGGGGCAGGTGGGGCAGGTGGCAGCTGAGTTTTATGGACATGCCTTGGTGACAAGTGGGGGAAAGAGCAAAGGTAACCTAGTGACTTTGGGTGCCTCCTCACCTGAAATGGATGTTTCAAGGGCAGGTAAGATCGGGCCAGGCAGTGGATGGGCCTTCCCCAACTTTGTCCTTCTTTCTTCCTGCTCTCCTTGCTCTCAGGCACCCACCCAAGGCCCTTCATGGAATCTGGACTAGATCAAGGGTACCTTAGCCCCACCTCAAATTAGACTTTCCAGGGGGGAAACAGAGGGGAATGGCAGTGGGATGGACTGAGGAAAGGTCATTTGTAAACAACACAGTTACACTTTGTCCTGGGCCCTCCAAAGTCCATCCATAAGCTGCATCTTCCAGAAGACCCACCTTATGCCTTGAGGACACCTTTGCTGCACTGATCTATTGACTAGGTGCCCCATCCCCCCAGCCCAGTGCCTTACAGAGCCTTAGAGTAATGGGGGGTCTCCTGAGGCCATGCTCTTCTTAGAACTAAGTCCGGGAAGGGGGTGGGAGGCCACACAAATTCCCCTACCTTCTGCTTGACCTTGATGAGACCTTGGCTCCTCAGTTTCTCAGACTTCTGTTGGGCATGACCTCAGTGCCACTGGGCCAGGGGTGGGGGTGGGGGAACCTTTATGGCTGCTAGGCACGGGCTGTGGCAGGGCTGTGTGCCTGGCTTCTTTCTCCCCCAACCCTATTAGTCCCGGGCTGGCCGCCCGCTCTTGTTCACCACAGAGCTGGGTTTCCCTGGGGACCAGTGGACTGGCCTAGCCCCACACTCCCGCCACAGCCCCTCCTGGCCACAGCTCACACTGGGAGGAGGGGTAGAGACTGAGCCACCTCCTGGACCCTGCCCTGCCTTTCAGGGCCTAGCAGCCTCCGTCCACTGCTGGGCTGAGAGGAAGGAATTGTGTTTGCTTTTGGAGGAGGTAGCTCTCCTGAGACTGCCAGCCAGGGTGGAGGTTGAGGCCAGAGGGAACCCTGTGTCACTCCCATTTGAGGAAGAAGAAATCCAAGGACCAGGAAGGCTCTAATTGCTCAAGGTAACCCAAGGTTTGACTCAAGAATGGTGGCCTCCTGGGCAAATAGATGGTCTCAGAGCTTCCTCCAAGACTGTAGGATTTGGAAAAGGGAAGTAGAGGGCTAGGGGCCTGAGGAGTCAGCAGAAACCGGGGATAATTTTTGGACAAGGCAGCCACGGGACTGGACAGAGAGTGGCCAACATTGGAACAGAAGGGGTCTCCTGACAGTGGGCATAAGCCATGTACAGGTGAGATGGGGGATGTGGGGTGCTGAGCCTCAACAGGCCTCAAAGGGGAGAAGCCCTTCAGGATCCCCTACATGCAAGACTTAGCTCAAATGTAGGACTCTCCCAGAAACCCCCACAGTCTGTGTCTCTCTGTCTCTGTCCTCCCTCCCCATGAAAGCTCCGTCCTAATATGGCCAGTCTCCCCTGCAGGTCCTAGAGGCAGTTCCAGCTGGCATGGCAACTCCAGCATCGCTAAGAGCAGCAGGAGACCCAGCCCCATGGGGGGCGCCCTAGACCTCCGACAGAACAACCATCTGTGGCCCTGCCTGCCTGCTGGTCCTCAGGTCACTCACCATGGGTGGCTGCTTCTCCAAGCCCAAGCCAGGTACCTCCTCCTCTCTTACTGCCTCCTCCCTCCCTCCTGCCTCTCTCTCTCTCCATTACCTTCCTCCCCCTCCCTTCTGCACTCTGCCTGCCTCCAAAGTAGGTCAGGCTAGGCAGGAGCCCCAGAATGTTAATGTGTTGAGATAGGAGGTGGGTAGAGGATCTGGAGAGGTTTTCCAAGTGCCCCCTCCAGTGATAGGCCCTCTTTTTGGGGGGGCTTTGAGTGCTGGTGGTGGGAAAAGCAGCTGGATCTTTGGGGGCTTTGAGTGCTCGTGGTGGAATAGCAGCTGGATCTTTGGAAGGGGAGGAAAGGATTTCTCCCATGGCTGAGTTAGGAAAGGGGGGCTCTAGGAATGCCTTTGGCTACTGTGTGACCTCTCTGAGCCTCAGTTTCCCTCTCTTTAAAATGATTCTACCCTCCCTGACCTCTTGAAGTTGCTGAGACAGTACAGTGGGCAGGTTCCTACCAAAGAATGTCCCTACCTCTTCTCAACCCCTCTGAAACTTAGGCTGTCATCTGGACATGCTTTCCCATTTATACAAGAAATTTTTGCCATGTCTAAATCAGCTGGCTCTACCCAGGGTGCTAGGGGAATCCACATCTACTTTACACTGGAGACCCTGTCTGTGGGGCTCTCCTTCAGGCCCCCAATTTCCTCTTCCTTCCTCATAACATCTCAGGAGGTAGGGCATGCAGATATGTCACAAATAAAGAAATTGAGGCCTCAAGAGTCCTCTAGAACTCAGACAATGCTCCACCCACATTTATGCAAGCCACCCTATCCTGGGCAACTTGCCCCTGCCAGCTCACCCCAGCTCCCTTTACCTGATACCCATCAGCTCCATTACCTTGGAACTTGTGAGCCTTTTCTTCTTTTCCTGGGTTCAAGGGAGAAGTTGAGGTAGGGAGGAGAGATGTTTATGCCCTACCAGTCAGGGGGACCCACCTGCACCTGTTCCAAAAACCACACTCCCCCTTTGCGCTGCTGTGCTGTGAACAGCCAGATCTGGGCCAGGTCCCACCACCTTCTTGTTTGGAAATATAGCTTAGGAAAATGACGTCCACTGTCTTTACCTCAGCCTTCTCCCAATAGAAACAGACAGAAGGATGCTAGCTGGCCCCAAACTGGGCACCTGTGGGACTGCTGGGCTGGCAGGAGGTCCTGGGCAAAAGGTGTCACCTATAAGTTCTTTCAAAGGACCCCCAAAGGGCTGGCCTGCCTGGGTCCCCTCACCCTAGTATTTCCAATATGGGGTCTAGACATAAGAACTTAGGCTCTTTTTTTTTTTTTAAGATTTTTTTTTTTTTTTTTTGAGAGAGAGAGGTGTGGGGGAGAGAGGGAGAATTTTTTTTTTTAATATTTATTTTTTAGTTTTCGGTGGACACAACATCTTTGTTTGTATGTGGTGCTGAGGATCGAACCCGGGCCGCACGCATGCCAGACGAGCGGGCTACCGCTTGAGCCACATCCCCAGCCCCAGAACTTGGGCTCTTGAGCCTCAACTCAGCCGTACGGCTTCCAGGCTGTGTGGCTTTGGGCAGGTGATCATACCTCTCTGATCTACTTTTTTCTCATGTGTAAAGTGAGGTTGTGCTTAGCACAGGACCTTGCACTCAGGAAGCACTTTTAAAATAGTATTGGCCCTTTTTCTCTGAGCTGGATTTCCTGCTGCCAGGATTCCCCTGTGGAGGCACAGTCCCCAGGTGCTTAAGCTAGACAGGTCAGGTGTGAGGCCTAGGGAATTTCAGGGTGTAGGAATGAGAGTTCAGCTGGGGTGAGCAGGGACAATAGAAAGACCCTGGTTCTGTGCGTGAGCAGATCCCCCCACCTACCCTTCTATTGCTGCTCCTGACTTAATGTCTTCCCGTTAGACTTGCATCAGTGAGTGTGCCTTGGAGCCTTCTGGCAGGAGGTGGAGGATGAAAACTGACTGGCTTGGCTGTTATCTGGCACTCCTGCCAGGCTGTTCCTGTGGACTCCCACAGCTGTCATAGCTGATGTCAGCTGAGTCTGAAGTATTTTTCTTTTTAATTCTTCCAAAAACATTCTAACACCATTACATAAAGTGTGGAAAATGGGAGGAAACTCCCCACTGGACAGGACAACCTTGTGTGGCTATGTGCTCATACACTCTTCCTACCAGTCCCAGTCATGAACTGACCCTTGCCACTATCCCCTGCCTCGCCTGGGCTGAGCTGGGGGATGGGACATACAGATGAAGGGCAGGAGGTCTAGACAGAGTGGGGAATTAGCTCAGAATGAAAGGAGGGCCTTGCAGGAGCTGGGCTGCCATGGGAGGCAGCACCAGAGCTGTGTCTGGGTATGGGGGTAGGAGTTAGCCAAGGCCTAGAAGAATGGCAGCCCAGGCCAAGCAAATGGTGCAGGCAAAGGCCAGGGTATGTGACTCAGCATCCACCCGGGGTTCTTGGGTCTTTTTTGTTTTTAGGAGTGTCAGGTCTGAAGTAGAAGGGAGCAGAGGTCTGGAGGCTCTGGTTCCTTGAGAGAGGCACCTCCTGCTCATGCTGTGCCAGAGGCTTAGTTTCCTCCCTGCAGCAGCAGCCCAGGAGGCCGGATTATCACTGCTAAAAATTCTGTTTATTGTTCCCTTCTAATTAGAAAAATACCCCAGGCATGTCATAGGGAATTTGGAAAATGTGGGAAAGTATAAAGAAGAAAGTGACAGTCTTTGGCTACTTCCTAAAGTAAGCCACGTGGGTATACTGAGAAAGTGTCTTCTGTGTGGAGGCCATGGAAGGGGGCCCTCTGTGCCTTCTGCGCTGTTCAGACCTGTCTACATGTACCTTTACCTCATGGAATTCATTCACTCCCAGGGCCCCAGACCCGTACATAAAGACACCGAAACCCAGGACTTGGGAAATGATGAATGAATCTCAAACTGCTGAGAATAATTATTTTAAGAAGTTGAAGCCAGGCACAGTGGCACACACTTGTAATCCCAACAGTTTGGGGGACTGAGGCAGGAGGATTGCAAGTTCAAGGCCAGCCTCAGCAACTAAGTGAGGCTCTAAGCAACTTGGTGAGATTCTGTCTCAAAATTTTAAAAAATTTAAAAAAGGATTGAGTGATATAGCTTAGTGGTAAAGTGCCCTGCTTTAATCCCCAATACAAAAAGAAAATGTTGGAATTTGTGTGTGTGTGTGTGTGTGTGTGTGTGTGTTGGTGGTGATACTAGGAATTAAACCTAGAGCTTTCCACACTCTAAGCAAGCATTCTATCACTGAGCTAAATCCCCAGCTCTGTCCATATTTTTTTAATTTTGAAAAAACCGTTTAAATCTATGGTAAATTTACAAGAATAATACAATGAATCCTTAATTTCTAATCATCCAGATTCACTGTGAACTGAGCTGCACCCAGTTTGGGACCTCATATTTGTATGTACATGAATCATCCCCTAAATGTGTCCCTGAGCTGCTAGGGACATTGTTGTCCATCTGAACACGTATGACACAAGACATCAAGGTTCTTTCCTCCAGAGATCCTGGAGGGGAGGTTTAGGGTTGGAAGAAACTCTGTTCTGTGACCCTCTCATTAATTTTGACATCGAAAAAGAAAATGTGCAGAACTGCTCAGTGATACAGCATTTACGTAGATGCACAAGTTCCTGGGTTTGATCACCAGCACTGGATAAAAAGAATAAAAAATAAAGAAAGAAAAGAAAAAATGCAGAAATGAATTCAGGCTGACCAAGAAATCCCCTTCTTATGCCCTTCCTCCTCTGTCTCTTTGCTGGGGTACACAAGGCTTTCTGGAGAAATTGAGGGGAAGGGCTGAGCCTCCTGAAACTCAGAGGGGCTGGCCTCTGCCCCCAGATTTTGGGGTGGGCAAGAAGATGGGGTGGGCAAGAAGATGGGGTGGGCTGAGGGGCTCATGATATGGCCCTGCCCACAGTGGAACTCAAGATTGAGGTGGTGCTGCCTGAGAAGGAGCGGAGCAAGGAGGAACTGTCGGCTAGCGGAAAGGGCAGCCCCCGGGCCTACCAGGGCAATGGCACAGCCCGTCACTTCCACACTGAGGAGCGCCTGCCAGCCCCCCACCCCTACCCTGGCCCTCAGGACTGCGTGGAGGCTGCCGTCTGCCATGTCAAGGACCTGGAGAATGGCCAGTGGGTGCTGGGCCTGGGAGGAGGGATCAGAAGGTCCAAAGTGGGAGGGCAAGGGAGAGGCCATGGATGAGGAGAACTAAGGTGAGGGGATTTGGAAGGGCCTATGACCTGCTTCTGCCCTAGTCATGGTCCTTGGGCTTCTGATGTTCTGGGCCTGCTACCTATGAGGCTGGACACTAAGAAGAGGTGCCCCCAGGAGGAGGTGCCTGTTGTCTGTCCTGACCTCTGAGTGCAGCCTTTCCCCAGGATGCGGGAAGTGGAGCTGGGCTGGGGGAAGGTGTTGCTGGTGAAAGACAACGGAGAATTCCATGCCTTGGGCCACAAGTGCCCACACTACGGCGCACCCCTGGTGAAAGGTGAGAAGTCCAGGGGTGCATATGGGAGGCGGGGGTAGGACCTTCCTATAGGGGGCTTGGCTACTGCACCATCCATGCCCCTGTTCTACCAGCCCCCGGGGTCAATTTGACTCTTCCCTAGGCCCTGGGTCCTCATCTAATAGTGAGGTCTCCTGGGCTATGAAGTGGACCAGAAGGTGCAAGGATCCTTGGAGAAGAGCCCCCGATAGTAGCTCCAACCTAGTACCACACTGTTCCAGGAGTGTTATCCCGTGGCCGGGTGCGCTGCCCCTGGCATGGTGCCTGCTTCAACATCAGTACTGGGGACCTAGAGGACTTCCCAGGCCTGGACAGTCTGCACAAGTTCCAGGTGGGGCTGGGAGTGTGGTATAGTGGGAGCCTGGGAGCACAGAGTTGGGGGCTTGAAGCACTCCAAAGTCTGATCCTGAGCAGTACTGCCCTTGCAGGTGAAGATTGAGAAGGAGAAGGTGTATGTCCGGGCCAGCAAGCAGGTGAGGAGTGGCTCATGGCTCAGAGGTGGGGAGGGCATCTTGACTCAGAGAATAGCTTGTTCAAAGGCCCTGCAGTGGGAGAAAGCCTGGCATGTGTGACTACGAGCAGAGTGAAGGGCTGCATGATGGGGAGTGGCTGGGCTAGAGTAGCAGAACCTGATCTGCTGAGATAACCCCAAATGCACCCCACCCCCAGGCCCTGCAGCTGCAGCGAAGGACCAAGGTGATGGCCAAGTGTATCTCTCCAAGTGCTGGGCACAGTGGCAGCACCAATGTGCTCATTGTGGGTGCAGGTTAGTATTGAGGTCATGATAAGGAGGGTGGAGGTGGATGGTAGGAGGTAAGTTGTCTGTTGGTTATGGCCTCCTCCCTTCAGGTGCTGCTGGCCTGGTGTGTGCAGAGACACTGCGGCAGGAGGGCTTCTCAGACCGGATCGTCCTGTGCACGCTGGACCGGCATCTCCCTTATGACCGGCCAAAACTCAGCAAGGTGTGGCTTTAGGGCAAACAGTAACCAGGCACAGGACAGTCAGCACAACGCAGGGCCTGAATCCTTAACCCTCTGGGTCCCTGGTCCAGCCCACTTGGAGCCTTGCTTGTCACCTCTTCAGAGTCTGGCCAGCTGCCAGCTACACTCAAATCTGGCTTACCTGTGGTGCCCCCAAAAGATCTCAGTTTGTTGAGTTTTATCCCACAGCCCACATATAACTCAGGGCTGGCCTCACCCTTCCTGGGGTCCATGTCCTTTGGTATAAAATGGAACAATGGTAGCTTGACGCTGTCTCATATTGGCTGTGTCCTGCAGTCCCTGGATGCACAACCTGAACAGCTGGCCCTGAGACCCAAGGAGTTCTTCCGTGCCTATGGCATCGAGGTGCTCACTGAGGCTCAGGTACGAGATTGAGGATGGTAAACTGGCCAGAGAATGGGTTAGTGGGAACCGTGAAGAGCATTGGGCCATATGGACCCCTGGGAGTGTTCTACCCTTCCAGTTTCACTGCCCAGGCCTGGGGAGCAGCACCGGACCGTCTTATTAGCAGGATCATGAGCACACACAGGGCCTAGGGAGAGAGAAGATCTCATTCCATCAGGGATGGGAAAGTCTGGTAGGACTTGGGAATATGTAGAGGGCTTTGAGAAGAAGGTGATGTTTTAAGCTTGAAAACTGAATCCTAGGCAGTGTGGGAACAGACCTCACGGGACATGCTCAGATCTGGCTGGGATCTGGGCATGTTGCAGGACTCAAAAGTGGATGACAAGACACAGGTCCATATCCAGGCCAGCACTTTACCTGTCGGGGGTTGCAGGTGGTCACAGTGGATGTGAGAAACAAGAAGGTCGTGTTCAAGGACGGCTTCAAGCTGGAGTATAGCAAGCTGTTGTTGGCGCCAGGGAGCAGGTGGGAGGGTGTCTTTATTGCCCTCCTTCTACACTGGGTGGGGCACCAGCCACAATGGGAGGGTCTCACTGAGGCTGCCATATCTCAGCCCTAAGACCCTGAGCTGCAAAGGCAAAGAGGTAGAGAACGTGTTCACTATCCGGACGCCTGAGGATGCCAATCGTGTGGTGAGGCTGGCCCGGGGCCGCAACGCAATTGTCGTAGGAGCTGGTTTTTTGGGTGAGAAGCTGGGGGTGGCAGGGTGGTGGGCAGGCTTTCATAGCCAGTCCCTGGGCATGCTGGATCTAGGAGGTGCAGGGTACAAGATCTGCCAGCCCCTGCCCATCATCTCAGGTATGGAGGTGGCTGCCTATTTAACTGAGAAGGCCCATTCTGTATCTGTGGTGGAGCTTGAGGAAACACCCTTCAGGAGGTTCCTGGGGGAGCGCGTTGGCCGTGCACTCATGAAGGTAAGCCTACCTCAATCCCTTGTCCCTTGATATCCTGAGTGTGTAGTCTAGCCCCTGACCAGGCTCTCATCCATTGCCCACCTGCCCTGACAGATGTTTGAGAACAATGGGGTGAAGTTCTATATGCAGACAGAGGTGTTGGAGCTGCGGGCCCAGGAGGGAAAGGTGGGCCTTTCTCCTCTCTTTGCTGCTTTCTGTCTTCTCTCCCTGAGCCCAGTAGCTGGTCCTATCTGCTCACGCACCCACCCACTCCCTACAGCTGAAGGAGGTTGTACTGAAGAGCAGCAAGGTCATTCGGGCTGATGTCTGCGTGGTGGGCATTGGTGAGTGGATGGGCAGGTGGGCATGAATGATCAAAGCCACCTGCACAAGTTCACAAATGACCTTGAGTTAGCCCCTTCTCCTCCCTGAGCCTTAGTTTCCACATCTTTAAAATGGTGACCCCAACAGTACCCACTTTCTAGGGCCATTGAAAAACACACATACCTGGCTTAGCCCAGGCCCTGCATGGAGCATGTGCTCAATGACTGCTGCAGACTAATAATCAACTCCATGCCCTGCTCTATGTTGGATGAAGAACACAAACTTCTTACTGTTCCTACTCCACCAGAAGTGGCAATTTGGAGAAGTGCAAAGCTGGGAAGTAGCAGCACAGGGGTTGGAGAAGCATGGCCTCCTGACCCCTCCAGGGGGCTTCAAGGAGTGCTTCTTGTAGAAGGCAATATTTGAGGCCTGATGGGAGGCACAGGTGTCTGTGGAGTGCAGGCAAAGGGGACAGTATGCATGAAGCCCCATGGTGGGAAGCCTGTGGATGTGATATCTGGGGTAAATACAGCAGGTGAAGGGTGTGGAACACAGAGAGCAGTGAGGCCAAAGAAGGGTGGAACCAGAGTGTGGACATGGCAGCCTCTGTCCTGCTAGGTGCGGTGCCTGCCACGGGTTTCCTGAGGCAAAGTGGCATTGGTCTGGATTCCCGAGGCTTCATCCCTGTCAACAAGGTGGGGCTGGGTGGGGTGGGAAGGGTGCTGGGCTGGGGGTGGCCAGAGGTATAGGTCAGTCCCCTGTCCTATCCATGAAGCTCTGGCTCTCTCTTCACAGATGATGCAGACCAATGTCCCAGGTGTGTTTGCAGCTGGTGATGCTGTCACCTTTCCTCTTGCCTGGAGGAACAATCGGAAAGTGAACATCCCACACTGGCAAATGGCTCATGCCCAGGGTATGGCCAGCCCTGAGGCAAGTTGGGGGGCTATCCTAGGGTTTCAGCCTCCCCCAGGATCATGCTTCAGTTGGTCTGCTTTCCTGGATCCTATGTTATGCATTCAAGGCTCTCTAGTGGCCTCACAGCTGGCCTCATCCAGGTGATCAAACCAGTTTACACAGCAAGCTCTGTGGCTCATCTCCAGAGACTCTCTTTCAGAACCATCTGGATGTACCATTTAGCCAGGGTCAACCTCCCATCCTAGTTTTCCTTCCACTAGTCTCCTTTCCTTTTGTCTTCAAGGATACATCCCACAGAATTTCTGACTTACATGTACAGTCAGGTCTCTCCTCTGAGGGAGAGAAGGAATTAGTAGGCCAGCTTTCCAGTCAGTGCTTCTATCTCCCTTGGACTAATCAACTATCTCTATAAACTCAGTTGTCTTCTGCAGGCCCCATCTAGTCCAGGCTCAGTGGGCACACTGTTTCTGTGGAATAGCTTTCCCTTCTTCACACCACTAACCATTAATTCCCCAAACCTCACCCACTGCACACACCTGGTCTGGGCCCCAAAGCTAGAGGGGCCAGTAAATTAACCAACTCAGTGCCTCAGAGAGGAACTCCAGACTCCCAGCCTATGATGGGTACTAGCTCCTGCACCCAACTTCCCTTTCCTCTGCGTTTGCCATTATCTGAAGGTCTGAAACCCCACTTCTAGAACTGATTTCTATTCAAGTTTTCAAGGTCTAAAGTGGCTGCTATGTTGTAAGGAAACAGCCAAATATAATTAGAATTCAGAATTTAATTGGGAGGGTCCAGAGTATTCTGATATATATCCAGCTTTGGGTCCAATGGGGGCATATAGAAACTGGAAAGTCACCCCTGCTATTCTCTTGGGGTCCTGCATGTGACTGTCATTTTTGCTTCCCTGGCTCTTGTGCTCCCTTCTCCTCCCTCTTCGGTCCTAATGTGTCTGATTAAGTTGTCTGTGTGCATAAGTGAAATGGTGAAGCAGCCCACAACCCCATGAGCAGACCTTCCAGAGAGGCAGGGCATGTCTGTCATTCAAGTTTTCCAGAGAAGCAACCTAGTAACTAGCTTGGAGCCAGGTGTCTCCTTGGTACCTCAGGAGGGCCACCACCTGTGTAACAATGTATTTCTTGATCTCTAGGGGATCCAGGAATAGCAGCTATGCCTGATAGGGGTCCCTAGAGTGCTGGGGCAGGCGATGTCAGGATGGTGAGGGCAAGGGTCAGGGTTCACATGGCCATGGGTTCTGCAGGGCGGGTGGCAGCCCAGAACATGCTGGCTCAGGAGGCGGAGATCAGCACGGTGCCCTACCTGTGGACTGCCATGTTCGGCAAGAGTCTGCGTTACGCGGGTAACAAGATCCTCGGATGGGGTGGGGACTGAACTGTTTTAGGGGTGGGACCATGATGGCTCTGGGAAGAAGCAATTAGGAACTCTCTGGGGGAAGGCCTAGGGACTACCTAAAAGAAGTAAACAATCGGGGAGGATGTCCTGAGAGGAGTTAAGAAGGCACAGGGTAGGGAATTTGTGAAGTCCATCTCCTTCCCTGGCTTATGTGGCATCACCTACCTGTTCGGCCCTACAGGCTACGGAGAAGGCTTTGACGACGTCATCATCCAAGGGGATCTAGAGGAGCTGAAGTTTGTGGCTTTTTATACCAAGTGAGAACAACTGGGTGCAATGGGGGTACAGAGCTGCTCGTTTGGGAATGGAGAGTCATCCCAGAAAAGTGCTCCTGAGGAGGGGGCTTAGCTAAAAAGGTGGAACAAGTGGCAAAGGGAGGCAGACAGCTGGGCAGGAGGCACTGCAGAGGAAAGGTGAGGAAGAGATCAGTAATAACTGACTTTGTTGTGCATTGGGCCAGATGAGTTATCTTCAAAACAGCTCTTTGAGGTGGGTGTTGACAGCCCACTTACAACAAGAAAAGCCACACAGACAATGGTGGTGTCAGAACAGGACCCTAGTCCTGAGCCCTGCTGAGGATTAGAGCTTCCCTAGAGAAATCTGATGCCTGTGCTGGGACAAATAGGGAGGGATAGGTGCTCAGGAAATTCCTGTGACCCCAGGAAAGATCCCTCCCTGGGTCCCAGTGATGAGGAGTGTGTCTTCAAGAAGGAAGGCTTTTGCCAAGCAGCACTTAGGCTTAGCCACCCTCTCTCTGCAGAGGTGATGAGGTGATCGCTGTGGCCAGCATGAACTATGATCCCATCGTATCCAAGGTGGCTGAGGTGCTGGGCTCTGGTCGTGCCATCCGGAAGCGGGAGGTGGAGTGAGTGTGGGCTTGGGAGGTCTTGGGGTGAAGGAAGGAAAGCCCTGAAGGATTGGCTTAAGCTGTCATGGCAGCCAATGTCTCCTAAGTTATCCAGGACCCTCACTCTTGCTCCCCATTTGTCTGAGGTTTCCAGGGCTAAGAGGGCAGAGATTATACTTTGAGAGAAAGCTGGTGTACTCAGAGGGGAGAGATGGGAAAGGGGTGTGTGTCCCAGGGCATCACCACTGCTGCAGGGAGAGTGAAGGTCCACTGCTTGCATCCAAGTACCTCTCCAACCCTGGTATCCCTCACTGAATGTGGTTTTTCTTACCCTAGTAGAAACACAGATAGTGATGCCCTTGGGTACACCCTGTATAGAGATGTGGGGTGGTTATGTGGGGCCTGGGAGGCACTGGACGCCAGCCATTAACTTCATTCCAGTATGGTTCCAGTGAGAGTCCTCTGTGTACAGAGAGCTCCTAGGGACTGGGGAAAGCCTGCAGGCCACTAGGGGGCTGGAGGTTATGGGTCATGCTAGGCCTTAGTCTGGAAATAGACATGACGAATGACATACTCTCCCTGGCCTTCTGTTTTTCCCTCTTGGCTTCACAAAGGCTGTTCATGCTGCACAGCAAGTATGTGTGTCCTCTGTCCTTATTATTAATCATTCTGAACCTTTCCCACTTCAGCCCCAGAGCCTCTACTCAATGATCTACCCCTCTCTGCCTAAGTACATTTCCCTGCTGGGCACCAAGGACAGAGCAGACCACTCTCTATTCTCAAGAGTCAGCTGCTCACGGTGCCCAGAGCAGGGAACCTGCCTTCTTCTTCCCTTATCCTATCTCTCCTCATTCCTGCAGGACTGGCGACATGTCTTGGCTCACAGGGAAAGGATCCTGAGTTCGAGTGTAGTGGACTTGGGCAGGCATGCTGGGGTACAAGGAACAAAGGCCAAGCCCTGGGGGCAGGTGCCAATCTCCAGTTTCCCAGCATCCCGCAGGGCAGAATTTGAGCCCTCCCAATGCTTGCCTTTGGCTGCCTGGATCCCTTCCAGGACGGCCTCTGCTGCCTCCAGAAGATGCTCACCCATCAGGGCCTCAGCATCCACTGACATCTGGCACTGGAGGTGGGACAGGCCCTGTCTCTTTTCCCTCTGTTGGGACTGGTCCCCTGGAGGACCCTGCAACATGTTAGACATTATCTTAAAATTAAAATGCACACATTTGCAGATCTGTGTGATTCCAGTGTAATTGGGCCAACACAAGGACAAAAGCAGACCACATGATAAACAGGTTCACCAAGGAAGTTAAGCTTGTGAGCACCCTAAGGAGGTAGCAACTGATGCTCTTCTTTCCACAAGGTCAGGGAAAGTATCTCCAACAAGTGCCTTTGGATCTTAATTTGAAAAGAAGAGCATTTAAGTAAAAAGGGACAGCAGGTGCAAAGGACTTGGGATAGAACATACATGTTTCTTCAGAGGTCAGCTGCAGCTCATGCCTAAAACTTTGGGGGCTCTAGGAGCTGGGTCCTAAGACAGATACCATGCTTTTCATAGCACTTGGAGCTTTCTGAATCCTCGTTTAGCAGGTGAAGAAGCAAAGGGTCTGCTATTAAGTGGAATAAGAAGTCTGAGGCGCTGAGCTAGACTTGCTTCCCAAAGGGGAGATAAGGCAGCCGGGGGCTGGGGGCGGAGGAAGGCGGGGCGGGTGGAGGCTGGTCTCGAAGAGCAAGCAGGAAGAGAACAAACACCTCGGCCGCCAGCGACCCGGAACCCTCCATCTAGGATCCCAGAAGCTGCAGACGATCTAAGCAGGAGCCACGCGTAGGCGCAGGGCATGCCGGGAACTTCGAGTCCGCCGCCGCTTAAGGTTAACCGGCGGGGTGGGCCTGGAAGGCGCCGGGAAGTGCAGTCCTGACAGATTGGGGTGGAGCCATCGCATTTACTGGAAGGGGAAACCTAGGCCCTGTATTTCGCCAGAAGTGCTTTCCGCAATGTTACACGCTCCCGGCAAGGTCGGCCACCAGATTCCACACTTACCCCAGCTGTCATGAGGAGTGCTAGACTCGTCGGGAAGTGTGGGTTGCCTTAATCGTGACGCTGGCCGGAGGTGCGGCGCCGTTGGCGCAGGGCTCGCTGGGAAATGTGGTCCCTTCTGGCGGTCGGGGCGGTGGCCGCCAGACCTGCAGACAGGGTGGCCAATCCGGCGTGCACCCGGGATGTCTGGGCCGGGTGGCTCCGGGGGCCCGATCGGGGCCGGGGCCCTGGCAGGTGGGGCGCGCTCCAAGGTAGCTCCGAGTGTGGACTTTGACCACAGCTGCTCAGACAGTGTCGAATACCTGACGCTCAACTTCGGGCCCTTCGAAACAGTTCATCGGTGGCGGCGCCTCCCGCCCTGCGACGAGTTCGTGGGTGCCCGGTACGGCGGGATTCTGAAAGCACTGGGAGTGAGGAGGTCCCAGGATGGGGCCTTGGGGCGAGGCTCGGGCGTCAAGTCCTGGAGTAGAATCTGGTAGTGGGTCGGGTGGTGTCCAGGGCAGAGAAAGGTCTTTCTAGCTAATCCCCAGAGTTGGGTGACTCTTATTTCTCTATAGTAGGGGTCCCACTAGCTTTGTGGTGGGGTGGGAAGTCTAGAAAATCCTCTGGTGGTGTCGAGCATCCCCATGTACAGGGTCCTTTGGGGTTGTGGTGGAACGTAGGTCTCTGTAGATCTTGGCAGTTGAGAGATATTTTCTAACTTCTGTGGCAGTACCACAGGTAGTCCCATTCCTTGGGTGCCACCCACTAGTGTCCTGGCTTTACCACCATCCACCTCTTTTTTCTTTCTAGGCGCAGCAAGCACACAGTGGTGGCCTATAAAGATGCCATCTATGTATTTGGTGGGGACAACGGGTGAGTCTAAGTATCAGGTGTTTGGACCAGGTAGGGAGAAGCAGTGTGGTCTCAGATTGGACCTGTGGAGCTCCACTGCTATCTTTCCAGACATTAGCTAAGTACTGTAAGCTTTAGTTTACCCTCGTTGGGGTTACCTGCATTTACATTGCAGATTGTGGTGAGAATTAAATGAGATCCTGCCCTCAAGTCCTCCTCACAGCATTTGGTGGGTAGCGCATGCTCAGTCCCTCTTGTTTTGAGTGAGTAGATGTAGCTTTTTTTTTTTTTTTTACTACTTTTATTTTATTTATTTATTTTTATGTGGTGCTGAGGATCAACCCAGCGCTTCACCCATGCAAGGCGAGCACTCAGCTGCGGAGCCACACCACAGCCCCAGATGTAGCTTTTTTAAAAATATATATTTTTTAGTTGTTGATGGTCCTTTATTTTATTTATTTATATGCAGTGCTGAGAATCAAACCCAGTTCCCCACACTAGGTTCGATTCTCAGCATGCTAGGCAAGCACTCTACCACTGAGTCACAACCCCAGCCCTAGATGTAGCTTTGAAAAACACATATGTACCCTTGCTGCCAGCCTTGCCAGTCACTTTTTTCTTTCCCCAGACTTCCCTCTGGGCTTTATCCACATGCTTACTCTGCAGCCAAAAAGTATGGAGCAGTTTTATTTATTTTGTACATCTTCCACTTTTTTGTGAATGTTTTCCTGTATTGCATAGACTCCTAGCAAATAACTTGATAATGATCTAATGTTCAGTTGGTGGGCACACCTCCATTCACATGAACTGCCACCAGTTAAGTTGTAGTTAGTTTCTCTGTGCTGAGGGTGGAGTGTCTATACATTATCCATCCTGCTCATGAGTCCTAGTTCTGCCTCTCAGCCTCAGAACCTGGCCTGAAGCCCAGAAAGGGCATTGTTGGGGTTGGGGATTTAGCTCAGTGGCAGAGCGCTTGTCTAGCACGCGCAAGGCCCTGGGTTCGGTCCTCAGCCCTGGAAAAAAGAAAAAAGAAAAAAAAAAAGCCAGAAAGGGCATTGCAGCCTTAGTCCTGTAGGACTCCTTGGGGGCACTGACCTGAGGTTGGAGGGGTAATTTGCAATCATATCACGACCTACACACTAGACAGAAGGGCCTCCTTGGCCATGACCCCCTGGTATCCAACCTGTTTCTGCTAGTCTCTTTTCCCAAGGGCAGTCAGGGGGATCTATTTACAAATACAAGTCAAAGTATATTCCTCCTCAACTCATAACCTTGTGACATCTCTCTACCTCTCTGAATAGAAGCCCAAGTTCTCGTGACAGTCTGTGATGCCTATACACTTGTGCCTCCCACTGTTCCTCTGCCTATTCCTTTGCTGCACAGGGCCATTGTGGCTGCTTTGATACCTTTAGGTTGTTCCCAACATGCTCCTACAATAGCTCTTTGCATTGGCCATTCCCTCCTTTTCACACTTCCTGCCTCTCTTCTGATCCTCCCTTTGAGTAAGGCCTTTCTTCACTTCCTTTACCTTTTGCCACCTCCATTTGTCCCTGAAGCACACAGATGTTGGATATAATCTGTGTCCTCTGCTATGTCAAGGCCTGTGCTCCTTTCATCCCAGTATCCTAGCACCTAGACAACTCAATAAATGTCAAAAAGTGGGATGAAATAAGAAAGTGGCATCTACTCAGAGATATTTATTGGAGCCTTAACAAGAATCTCCCAAACCAAAAAAGGCCTTGATGTCAATCACAGGGTAGTAGGTGGGAAATGGGGAACCTCTGTCCTCAGGAGTATTCTGTAGTGGGTAGTTGTGTAATAACTATGGAGCAATAAGTAGAATAGTCTTTGCTATGATGTGTCAAAAGATAAAATCACCGCAGGGCTGGAATTGTGGCTCAGTGGTAGAGTTCTTGCCTAGCATGTATGAGGCACTGGGTTCAATTCTCAGCATTGCATATATATAAGTAAAGGTTCATCAACAACTAAAAAATTTTTTTTCAATAATATAAAATTACAACTAATTAATTATAGAGCTCTTTGGCTTTTATTTTTTATTCATGAATTGAGGCAGCCTCCATTCTACAGATTAGAATGAGAGTTCTCACTGGACAAGAGCAACCCAATGGATCTTGTAAGGTGGGAACAAGGAAACTGAACAAAAAGCTGATTGGTTAACATTAGGTTACTTCAGGTTACCTTTTTTATAAGGGTTAAAGCAGAGAGGATTTCCTTATTACACTAAAGGAGGTAGACTGGAATTAATTGTTTTTAGGAAAAACTGATCTGTATTGGGATCTCTCTGCTTCTTTAAAGTTCCAGTTTATGAAGCATTTGGCATGAATACCTTCTATTTTGGTTTGGTTTCTAGCTTCCCATAATTTTTTTTTTTTTTTGTGGTGCTGGGGGTTGAACCCAGGGCCTTGTGCATGCAAGGCAAGCACTCTACCAACTTAACTATATCCCCAGCCCAGTTTTTTCTCCCATATTTTTGTTCAACAAAGGAGACACTAAGAAACAGGTTACAAGGTGTTGTATATACAAAGCATGATGATGCATGCCTATAATCCCAATGAAGACTCTGGAAGCTGAAATGAGAGGATTGAAAGTTTGAGGCCAGCCTCAGCAATTTAACAAAATGTTGTTTCAAAATTTAAAAAAAAGAGAAGGAAACAGGAAATTTATCTCCCTTAGGTTGCAACTCTGTAGCCTGCCAGTAGACTGTCAGATCAACGAGATCAAAGAAAGATGGCCTCCTCCTGGGGCAGGATTGGGGATGGGGTGGGGAAAAAAGGAGGATGGGAAGGAATTAGCCACAACATTAACTTGCCAGCTCCTGAATTCCTGGCTGTATGGTCTCAGACACAACTTTTTTTATTTTTTAAAAATTTTTTTAGTTGTAGTTGGCACAATGCCTTTATTTTATTTATTTTTATGAAGTGCTGAGGATCGAACCCAGCGCTTTACCACTGAGCCACAACCCCAGCCCCCAGGCACAACCTTTATCTCCCAGGCTGTTTGTTCTTCTATAAAATAGAGTTTGGAGGTCACCCATCTAGTATAGATGGAATGAGACCGTAGGGGGCACCTGGCATAAGTCCCACCTAAAGCTGGTGCTGGGCTCCTGTTGGTTTGCAGCCCTGTAAGGTGGTACAATGGCCAGTGAATTTGTTTCCCATTTTATTGTATATTTAATGTAATTGTTATATTGGTTTTGCAATTAGTAAAGAGATGTTAGAAAGATCAGAGAAAGGCAGAGAAGCATCTCATTGTGGTGGTGCAGCATCTGAGGGAAGGAGGTTAAGGCAAGTGAGTGGGGATTCTTGAGGCTGGGGTGAATGATGAGTCTGGCCTTTGGACTATTTCACATCCTCATGGCAGCCCATGAGTAGGCTCCTGGTGGCTGGGATCATGCTTTGGTTCTGACTCCATGTGGGTTAACCTTGCCTGTGTGGCAGCCCTGGTTCCCATATCAACTGGGAAGCCTTCTTGGTAGTCATCACTCTTGTCCCTCAAGCATCAGTTGGTTGTCTTACCCTGGCCAGGTCCAGAGGTAAGTGAGCCACCCCAAAATGGCCCTTTCTGTTATCTCTTGCAAGGTCTGCATGCAATACCCATCTCTAGAGTCCTGGTAGGGCAATGCCCCACAAAGCACACCTGGCTAATGCCACCCTCTCTCTGGCTGCCTTTTAGGAAGACGATGCTCAATGACCTCCTGCGTTTCGATGTGAAGGACTGCTCCTGGTGCAGGTGGGCAGCCTTCCATGCTCTAAGACTCTGTCCTTCCTTCTGTGCTGTGCTGGGACTGGTTGCTGGCAGAATCAGAGAGAAGGATCAAGGAGGAAAGAACCAGAGCCCCTGGGCCTTTGGGATGTCACAACCAGAATCTCTGAATATTTTCCTGCATTTCCTGGGTTTCTGTTCTAACTACCACTGTGATTGATTATTCTGTGATTGAAACTAAGGGGTCTATTTGATCTGTCTGTGAGTCCCCAAATTCTGCTGCAGGAGAGCCCCTCAGTTACCAGAACTTCTCCTGGGCCAGGGATTCCTGTGAGATCTGACTTGAGGCAGGGGAGAGTATCAGTTAATGAGTCCTCTCAGGATTGACTCTGTGTTGGTGCAGGAAGCCACCCAACGGCTAGCAGCAACATCTTTTCTCCCTTCCCTGCTCCATGGGGCCCATCTTCTGCCAGGAGACCCCACACTGGCAGTAGGGTTAGGGTCTAGCTACCCAGAAAGCCAAGACATATGATTCCAAGTTCAAGGACAGCCTGTATAACTTATTGAGACCCTATCTCAGCATGTACACCCTTACCAACCCCTTCTACACAGATATCTGTCTCAGCTGTGTGGCCTCCAGTGAGAGACACATGCCCTTTCTGAACACTGCATATTTGTGCCCATCCGCAGTAGTCCAGCCCCTGCCTGGGAGCAGCTCACAGCTGAGGGGGAAATATGAAGTATCTCCTAGAATCAGGAGATACTGGGCTTTCTGAGCTCTACCATTTTCTCAACAGAAACACAAACCCATGGAGCCCATTGTGGCACCACACTCTATTCTGTGGGCCATTCCCTTGGTCCCAAGCAGCCCTTTGGGGTGGGGTCTTATTGTCCTTTTTGCCAGAGGAGGATGTCAGTGCTCAAAAGATGCCAGAACCCTTAGCTACACAGGGCTGCACCACTTGGCATCACCTACCATATGCCCAGGAGCTTTGATAGCACTTGGAATAACTGTAGAAGTAGATATGTTTTTTCTCTCTTTATGATACAGCTGTTAAATGATTGATTTTAATTTTTAAAGTCATTAAAGAGCCGGGTGTGGTGCTATACTGCTGTAATCAATCCCAACAACTTGTGAAACTCAGGCAGGAGACCAACCTCAGCAACTTATAGAGACCATGTTTCAAAAATAGAGCCAAGTGCCATATTATATGCCTGTAATCCCAGTGACTCAGTAGGCTGAAGCAGGAGAATCATGAGTTCAAAGCCAGCCCCCGCAATTTAGTGAGAACCTAAGCAACTTGGTGAGTCCTTGTCTCTAAATGAAATATAAAAAAGAGGCTGGGGTGTGGCTTAGTGGTTAAGAGCCCCTGGTAAAAATAATAATAATGATAATAATAATAATAAAATAGAAATGACTGGGGATGTAGCTCAGAGGTAGAGCACCAAAAAAAAAAGAAAAGAAAGAAAGAAAAGGAAAAATCACTCTTAAGGCTAGCTGTAGTGGCATACATCTATACATCTGTAATCCTAGCTACCCAGAAAGCCAAGACACATGATTCCAAGTTCAAGGACAGCCTGTAAAACTTAATGAGACCCTATCTCAAAATAAAATTTAAAAAAGGCTGGGCATGTAACTGAATGGTAAAGTGTTTGGTTAGCATGTGCAAGGCCCTGGCATTAATACCCCACTACTGGGAGGGAAATCACTCTGAAGACTTTATAATTCTTTGTCAAACTTTTCCCAGAAAATGAGCAGCACCAAATAATCAGTGCAAATGGGTTTTTAGTTCAGTAAATAAAATTTAGTGACCTCATGCTGCAGAATACTTAGAGCTGCTGAGAATGGCCCTAGTCAGTCCTAGTGTGGCATGGGGTCACTAGTGATATTCTACTGTCTAGTTGAAAATGCAAGTTACAAAATATCCATCTCATTAATTTTATTAAAAAATTCTTTGGGGGCTGGAGTTGTGGCTCAGTGGTAGAGCACTTGCCTAGCATGTGTGAGGTACTAAGTTTGATTCTTAGCACCACATAAAAAATAAATAAAATAAGGGCATTGTGTCTATCTATAACTAATTAATTTTAAAAAATTCTTTGGGGCTGGAGCTGTAGCTCAGTGGTAGAGCACCTGCCTCGCACATATGAAACACTGGGTTTGATCCTCAGCACCACATAAAAATGAATAAATGAATAAGTAAATAAATAAATAAATAAATTGTGTCCATGTATAACTAAAAAAAAAAATAAAATTCTTCACAGACATGGTTCAGAGTTATGGAGGGAGGACTCCTATCTATTGATAGTGATTTTCTGACAATGGAATTATGCAAGAGTTTTGGTGCCCATTGCTTTTTTTTTTTTTTAAGTTTCTATGAGCCAAGTGGGATGGCTAATCCTAGTGGCTTGGGAGCCTGAGGCAGTAGGATTGCAAGTTCAAAGCCAGCAATTTAGCAAGGCCCTAAGCAACTTAGTAAGACCCTATCTCAAAATAAAAAATAAAAATGGCTGGGGATGTGGCTCAGTGGTTAAGCACCTCTGGGTTTATTCCCTGGTACTAAGTAAATAAATAATAAAAAATAAAGTTTCTATCAGATGTGCCACTTTTTTTTTTTTTTTTAACAGTATTGGGGGTTGGGGATAGAAGTCAGAGGCACTTTATTCCTAATCTACACTCTTAATTATTTTTTGAAATTTTGAGATAGGGTCTTGCTAAATTGCCCAGGCTGGCCATGAACTTGTGTTCCTCTGGAATTACAGGCTTACATCCCCACATTCAGCAAGTCATCACCTTTGAAATGCAAAATTAAAAGGAAACTAGGTGCCATGGCCTACCCTATAGTCCTAGCACTCAGAAGTCTGAGGCAGGAAGATCTCTTGAGCTCACAAGCTCAAGGCCAGCCTAGGTAGTAAAGAGACATTTAAAAAATTGAAGTGTGAGGGTTGACACCCTGTGGGGACATGGACTATCTGGCTGATCTTGGTGATACCACCCTTGTACCTACTATAGGGCCTTTACCACTGGCACCCCACCAGCCCCTCGATACCACCACTCAGCTGTTGTCTATGGGAGCAGCATGTTTGTTTTTGGTAAGTAGCCTTCTACTCCCTGCTGGGCCTACAGCTGCCCTGTCCTCCTGCCAGCCTTCTCCTAAGATGGGTCTTCTCATATCCTAGATTTCCTAGCAGATACTTTCTGTTCACTCCTCAGCTTTGTCCACTGAATTGCTTTGAACTCCTATACTGGGCAGGGGACCCCTTTCCCTAACTGTCTTGAGCCCATGGGGTTGGTTCATCTGCCTCTCTGAGGGATGGAGCAGGAAACAGTGTCCTGTTTATCTCTGTATCCCTAGAGCCCAATACCAAGGCAGGCAGATAGTTGTTGCCCCAGTAATTTATAGGTGGATTTCCAGTTGGTTCACTTCAGGTGGGGCCAGATTCTGTCCCAGATCCTGGAGTTTGAAGATATGCCATGAGTGTGATACTTTTGCTCTCTCTTTACCAGGGGGCTACACTGGAGACATTTATTCCAATTCTAACTTGAAGAATAAAAATGACCTCTTTGAATATAAGTTTGCAACTGGCCAGTGGACAGAGTGGAAAATTGAAGGACGGTGAGAGACCTGTGGGACTAGGAGGAGCCTGGATGGCAGCAGGCCTGAACTTGGCTTTCTCTTATGTTTCAGACAGGGAGCCCAAGGCTGGGAGAGCCTGAGGGCATGAAGTAGTCAGATAGTCGGGAGTGGTCACTTACCCCAGGTATCCATATTCAGTTCTGGATGCCCTTCTTTTAGAAGAAACCTGATGTGTTGCTTTGTGAGTACCCCCTTTGGTATTTTGTGGAAGCTGAAAGATAATACTCTGCCTCTGTGAACATCTGAGTTTCATTTTTGTTTTTGAGGTGTTGAGCATTAAACCCAGGGTTTCATGCATCCTAGACAAGTGCTCTATCACTGAGCCATATCCCCAGCCTTACATCTAGTTTTTGTATCTAGCTATCATCCAGGCCTCACAAACCTACCTTCTGGTTCTGTTGCTCCTTCCCAGTGCCCCAGAAGTGGCCCTCAGAGCCCCATTGTCAGGAATATGTGACCTTAGCAGTTCAGCTGTGGTTTGTATCCCACTATGTGGGACTGTAAGCTCTGTCCTTTACTGGATGGCTTCCTTCTTCACTCCCTTTTCACTTTAGGTTGCCAGTTGCCAGGTCAGCTCATGGGGCCACGGTGTACAGTGACAAGCTGTGGATCTTCGCTGGCTATGATGGCAATGCCAGGTAGGCAGTGGCCTGGCCTGTGTACCCCATCTCTGAATGTACGTAGGTACACAGTGAGCTTTCCTGGAATTTGAGAGCTCAGTCTAGGAAAGGTCAGCCCGGTGGATTTTGAGTGCTACTCTGGGGGTTTCCCAGGAGGGGGCATGGTTGGAGGAGAGGAATTTGGGTAAATGGAGGTGAGACTGCTGAGTGGGACCCGCCACTAATCCTGTGGCCCCTTGATTAATCAGATGATGTTATTTGGGTACCACCAGGAAGAGGGACCCTGAGGGGCTCAGTACATGGGTGGGTGGGCAGTGTCAGGGCACAGACCCAGCCTTAGGTTCCTGCCTATATCACAGGCATTTTCCTTCTAAATTTAGTTAATTAGTTTTGCTATATTTTTCTGATTACAAAAATAGTATGTGCTCATTCCAAACTTTAGCATTGTAGAAATTCCTAGTGATACAGTGGTAGTGGTGATTTTTGTGGTATCTACAGTCTTCTCCTTGCTGTGGGGGAGAATAGCTGAAGAAGCTGTGGCCCTGTTCCACTGTGCCAGATGTTGTATATGAGGTTACTTGTTCATATCTGGGTAGGGGACCTGGAATGGCAAGGATTTGGTGCAGTTCCTGCTCCCACACCCAGCTCCCATGTCAAAGCTTCACAGGTAGTCCCCTACTTACATGGCAGGTTGTTTTTCCCTGCATTCATTTGCCCTGGCCAGGGCCTGGTCTACCCTATCAGCCAGATCCAAAGGAATCTGATCCCACTGTCCTAATGCAGGTTGAATGACATGTGGACGATTGGCCTCCAGGATCGGGAACTCACGTGCTGGGAGGAGGTGAGGTGCTCAGAGAGCTGCTGGGGTAAAGACAAGGGCTGCTGGGGGGTGCAAGAAGCCAAGGTAGGGTGGCAACAGAGGCTGCTTTCTTGCCTTTGCCAAAGCCCAGCTTCACTGTCCTCCATGACCTGGCAGGAACCTCAGGACCAATTCTAGCACCAGTTGCACAGTGACTGAAGACTTTTAAGTCTTCGGGCTGAGGATGTGGCTTAGTGGTAGAGTGCTTGTGTAGCACGTGCAAGGCCTTGGATATAGTCCCCATTACTGAAAAAGGCAGGGGGTATGACACTGAGTTATGGATGGGCAGAGTACTGTGTGTTATGATGATGTATATGAGTCTGGTCTAATCTACACTTATTTGAACATAGTGAGGACAACTTGCTCTCTGGTGTCCTAATTACTGGAGTTTCCCCTAGGACTTTCCTTTCCTTGTAGAAATGGATGATTTTTAACCTCTAATGATTTTACCCTCATGGTTTTAACCTCCACTGGTCAAAACCATACTCACATATGTGGATGAGATGGGTTATAAGCTGTTCAACAAAAACTGGTCTATGAACCCTCATTCACAAAGCTTCAAGAATGAAGGTCCCACCCTATAAGTACATAGATATGTAAGCTGAGGTCCTGTGAGAGCCTTGGACTGAGTTGCACCCCCATCCCAGGTGGCCCAGAGTGGTGAGATCCCACCGTCTTGCTGCAACTTCCCTGTGGCTGTGTGCCGAGACAAGATGTTTGTATTCTCAGGACAGAGTGGAGCCAAGATAACCAACAACCTCTTCCAGTTTGAATTCAAGGATAAGACGTAAGCACTCTGCTTGGGGAGGAGGCATAGTTAATGTCCTAGCCTGTTTCTGATAGCCATGGTAGCCCATCTTTCCAAGCTCTCACATATAGCAGGAATATATAGCCTGGAGCAGGGATGTGTGGCACACCCACCAGGCCCCTCAGGTATGGCTGCAGCTCAGCAAAATAGGGTCTGGACCAGGAACCCTGGCTGAGCCTCCCTCTGGAGGACAACTCCTGCCCTGTGAGTGGCTTGATCAGTCCTACCAATAACAAATGGGACTGGTACAGCTGTCCTGTGATGGCAGAAGATGGGAGAGGTGCCCAGGCCCTGAGAACTTCTGTCCTACACTGTCCTTGGCTGCCAGTTGACTTTTCCCCTGTGATGGGGCTCTGTCCTCTGTCACTGGGAGTGAATGGAAAAGAGGGAACATGGGCTTTGGAGGTGACTCAGTAATTGCCCTTTAGATTAGGGATAGGTAGGAGGAAGGGCTGGTATCCCTGGTGGAGAGAAACCTCTTTGGGTGATGGGCAGGGGTTGGCAGCATACAGCCACATGGATCTATTAGCCAGGATCTATTTTGGTTCTTCAACTTACTTAGCAAAAGAGACAATTTGCTGGAGGTACTGTAGGAGCAGCATTAGCATGTGAGATCCAGAGTGGGGACTTGGCAGTCTGCTCAGCAACCCACAATGGCACAACTCCATTCCCCAGAGAGCAAACTGCCCAGAGGTCAGTTTCCCATACCATCACTGCTTCCTGCTTCATGTCAGAGGGAGGGGGGCTTGTTCAGGACCCCATGAAGTTGGACAAGGCTGGTGGTGTCAGAGCTAAACAGGGCATGGAATTCTGGGGACCCATATCCAGGCCCTCCCTTGGGATCCTGAGATGGTCACCACAGGAGTTGCAGGGGACTTCACAGGGGGAACTTGTTGTGGGGAGGCTTTGGTAAGGAACAGAATTCCTACCCCAGCACTAGTTTACTGTTGTGTGCTCCAGGTGGACACGTATCCCCACTGAACACCTGCTCCGGGGCTCCCCGCCGCCCCCACAGCGGCGCTATGGACACACCATGGTGGCCTTTGACCGCCACCTGTATGTGTTTGGGGGTGCAGCTGACAACACTCTTCCCAATGAACTGCATTGCTACGATGTGGACTTCCAGACCTGGGAGGTTGTCCAGCCTAGCTCTGACAGTGAGGTGAGCACTACCAAGCTATGGAGTAGGGGTTCCAGGGGGTCCTGACCCACTGGCTGGATGCCAATGGCTCTCACAGCCTCAGGGGGCTCCCAGGGTTCCAGAAAGTCAAGAGGAGCAAGGCCAGGACACCCTGGGCCCTCAGCCCTGAATGCCTGCCCCTCTGGCTCTAGCCCCTTCTGCAGTCTTCAGGTTTTTAATATTCCATGTTCCATTCTGTCTGTACTGTGCTGCTGTCCTACAAACATTATGGGGAAACCTGCTTTGATTGCTGCCTGGGCTCACCTTCACAGCCCTCATCCTGTTCTTTTTCCCTCCTTCTAAACCCACAGCATGCTCTGGCAGGGATGACAGCCTACCCAGCCCTTGCTGACTGGTCACATGCCCACGTTTCTCCCCACCAGGTTGGTGGGGCTGAGGTGCCGGAGCGAGCTTCCACTTCCGAGGAAGCACCCACCCTGACCTCTGAGGAGCGGGGTAGCTTCAAGAAGTCCCGGGATGTGTTTGGCTTGGATTTTGGTACTACCTTACCTAAGCAGCCCAGCCAGCCAGCCTCAGAGGTAAGGGGCAGAGACACTTGTTAAGGCTCCATCACTCCTTGAAGCAGATACTATGATGAACCTGTCACAGATAGGGAGAAGGAGGCTCTGAAAACTGTTTAGAGTCACTCAGCAAAGGAGGCACAGGGCCAGGAGCCCATGCTCTGTTGGCTGGACCAATGTCCCTGGGGGCTCCAGACTTTGCCCTCTGGGGTCTGTTCATCCTGAGGGTCTCATATCTCATTCTACCCCACTCGTCTACATGGCCCTGGCTCCCACTGTTGTCTGCAGTTGCACTCAGGAAATTTGTAATCTCAGAGACTGGGTTGTTTGGCCTCTCCTTCACAGTCATATCCTTGCCCATGGCTTAGCCACCACCAACCCCAGTGCTGGAAACTATGCCCCATCCCTTCCCCTCTGCCCACTTGTCACCCTCCTTAGCTGCCCAGCGGGAGGCTCTTCCATGCAGCTGCTGTCATTTCTGATGCCATGTACATCTTTGGGGGCACCGTGGACAACAACATCCGCAGTGGGGAGATGTACAGGTTCCAGGTATGTGGCTCATGAACTTGTAGGGCCTACTGGGATGGACAAGCCCCAGTGATAGAACACTGAAGCCCAGTAGGTAGGGGCAGGGCTTGTCCAAGGGTGCCTGTTGATCACTGAGCCTAATGGGATGGAAGCCTCTTTAAGGCCAGTGATGGGGGGTGATGGCTCTAGGTTGAGGGAAGGCTGAGGTGACACTAGGAGTAGGTCACTGACCTTCAGTGCAGAATGGACCAGGCAGACCCCCAGCTTCAGAGCAGGGTAGGGAAATGTGAGGGAATAAGCTGACCTGGTAGATGCAGCCTGGCTAGACTGAGCACTTGGACCTCCAGGACACCCATAGCTTAGAAGAGGGTAGACTCTGGATTGACACTACTTTCCATGGCAGCTTCTTCCCACACTTGGAAGAACATGTGGTCCAAGCAGGAGTCCATGGGACAGTGGAAGATAGAGGTATACTGATGGAGCCAGCATGAGTACTTAGGTCCAGGCAGTGGAGATGCCACAACCCTGCCAAAGTCTGGGGAACTAGCTTAAGGCAAGGAGTGGCAGTGAGAGTACCCTGCTGGTGTGGAACCAGTGGGGAGTTGCAGGCACTGAGGCCCAGAGCAAGGTATGCCTGTAGGTAGAGAGATAACTCCTCCCTTTCCTCAGCCAGGCCTGTCTGCCTTTGCACTCTGTGGGATAGCATAGGCTGGACAGGAGCCTCAGGGTTGGCCTGCATGGCAGCACTGGGGTCTTCTTCTGCAGTTCTCCTGTTATCCTAAGTGCACGCTGCATGAAGACTATGGGCGGCTGTGGGAGAGCCGCCAGTTCTGTGATGTGGAGTTCGTGCTGGGTGAGGTGGGTGCCCTTCCTTAAGCCCAGCCCCATTTGCTGAGTGGGAACTTCTCTCTGAGGCCCAGCTGACCACATAGTGGTGACTTCCCTAGCCAGCTGGCCTTTGTCCCTTGGAATGAGGTTCCTGTACCCTTCATATATCATTCTTTATGTAGAAGGAAGAGTGTGTGCAAGGCCACGTGGCCATTGTCACGGCAAGGAGCCGCTGGCTCCGCAGGAAGATCATGCAGGCACGTGAGCGATTGGCTCAGGTAAGATTTCCCTCTACTGCTGAATTGGGTAGCTGTGTCCATTATTCACTGGGGTTCCCTTGAGCTCCTTTCTTTTCCCCTCAGAAGCTAGAGGAGGAGGCAGCCCCTGCTCCCAGGGAGGTTCCTAGTGGAACACGGCTGCCCCTGCTGCGTGTGGCCATTCGGGAGGCTGAGGCCCGACCCTTTGAGGTGCTCATGCTGTTTCTGTACACCGACAAGATCAAGTACCCAAGGAAAGGTCTGCGTGGTGTGTGGGTGGTACAGTAACAGGGCAGGGGGTGACAACAGAGCTAGAAGGTGGGTGTGCTAGTCAGAGGGCATTATAGACAGACCCTCTGAGGCTCAGAGGCTGTGGACACTCTTGATTACATGTGATCACAGCAGCCAGCATGGGACCCAGCTGACACTCAGCAGTCCTGACCCAAATTCATCTGTGAGGGAGCCCTGGGCTGTGTCCCTAGGCTTCCCTTCCTGGGATCCCTAAGGCTCAAGGACTTTTGGGTGCAGGCCATGTGGAGGATGTGCTGCTCATCATGGATGTGTACAAGTTGGCGCTAAGCTTCCAGTTGTGCCGCCTGGAACAGTTGTGTCGGCAATACATTGAGGCTTCTGTGGACCTGCAGAATGTACTGGTTGTGTGTGAGAGCGCTGCGAAACTGCAGCTGGGACAGCTCAAGGTGCGGGCAGGGGTTAGTGCTACTGCTGGGATCATCTGCCAGCCTGGGGCTCTGCTGGATGGGGTGGGGCATGCATGCTCAGGCTGGGTCCCAACTCTGCTCCCTGCAGCAAGCCCCTTGCCCAGCTTGGGGCCTTGGGCTGACCCCACTTGCCTGCCCGGGCCTGTCTGTCCCAGGAACACTGCCTGAACTTCGTGGTGAAGGAGTCCCACTTCAACCAGGTGATCATGATGAAGGAATTTGAGCGCCTCTCATCCCCACTGATAGTGGAGATTGTAAGGCGGAAGCAACAGCCACCCCCTCGCACCTCCTCAGACCAGCCCATGGACATTGGTAGGGAGCCCTTATTACCCTGCACTGTGGGGAGTGATGGATAGTGTTGGGTAAAACACTTAGGAGCCACGGAGGCCACCTGCTAAGCTCTTGCGACACGGGGTGGATCTGTGGCCATGTGCTGCTGGGCACAGGGGCAGGGATGGATGGGGAAAGCAGGCTCCCTCATAGAATCTCCCCAGTCCCCCCAGGGCTTTCCATAGCAGGCTATGCAGCAGTGAGCCTGGATTCCCTAAGCCCATTTCTGGGTTGAACATGGGTACTTCTTTCTGCCTGGACCATCACGTCTGATGGTTCAGGGTCAGTGATCAGCCACTGAACATTTGTTTTAGATACAGTGATGGTTGAGAACAGCCTCATATATTCCCAGTGCTTTCTTGTCTCCTCTCACTCTGAAAGAGATGTTACAGGCTCCTTCTTTCTCCCAATGTTCCTTGGAGCCCATGCTGACCCTTGCCACTGACTCTTGGTCATATCTGGAGACACCAGAGGTCAAGTGATAGGCCCAAAGGAGGACACAGTGGGCCAAGTTGTGGAAAATCAGATGTTGGTAGTGGCAGGCCTTGGGACTATCTTTGGGAATGCAGAGGTCCAACTAGCCTGGGGAACTGAGAGGAAAAAATAGAGACTGGAGGCTCATCTGGCCTTGGGAAGCTTTGTACAGGGCAGCCATGTGGGCTGACATGTGGAGAGGCAGTGCCTGTGGGGTCCTGAGAGTAGAATATAAAATAGCCCCTTTGATCAGAGTCTGCTTGGGGTGTGGAGGGGCCACCTGCTCAGGGTCCCTCCACATCTACATTCCAGGCACATCTCTGATCCAGGACATGAAAGCATACCTGGAGGGGGCAGGTGCAGAATTCTGTGACATCACTCTACTGCTAGATGGGCATCCACGGCCAGCTCACAAGGCCATCCTGGCAGCCCGCTCTAGGTGGGTCGAAGGCCTATACAAGAGGGCAGGGTGGAGCCCAGGTGTTGGCTTCCTTCTTCTGAGAGATGGGCATTTGCACCCCCCTCCCACAGCTACTTTGAGGCCATGTTCCGGTCCTTCATGCCTGAGGATGGGCAGGTGAACATCTCCATTGGGGAGATGGTGCCCAGCAGGCAGGCCTTTGAGTCCATGCTGCGCTACATCTACTATGGAGAAGTCAACATGCCGCCTGAGGACTCCCTGTATCCTCATAACTCAAGACACTCTCTGGTCAGCACTGAGGGGTCATAGTACCCGCCCTTGGGCTACTTTGGGGTCCTGTTGCCCTGTCTTGGCCAGATGGGGGTGGACCATCTCTGCATTCTAGAAGATTTCTCAGTGCCTGGTGCAAGGTGTCTAGAGCAGATGGGCAGCTGGTAGGGAGGGTTCGTATCCTGGGAGAACAGTGTTGGCCATTGTTCTCTGAAACAGGCAAGCAGGCAGATAGGAAGTGATTTCTCTTACTTCACTTCAGTGGTGTCAAAACCTTTCCCCCACTCTTTGCAGTGTCTAACCTAGGGCCTCATGTATGCCAGGCAACTAACTGCTTGACCACTGAGCTACATTCCAGCTTCTTCAGTGGGGTTTGAACATGAGGTACTAGAATGCCTGTTGGCTAGTGAGGCTATGGAGAAGTTCTGCAGATGTGCATGAGAGAATGAGATTTGTGGTTTTCTTTGGATCTTGAATAAGACCTGTTTAGAGAATCAGCCAGTATCTGCATCTGGATGAAGCCCTAGCCCCTGGTGTATGAGGCTCCTGAAGCACATTCCTAGGGGAGAATGGAGACAGCAGCTGGGTGGGCATATGGGCTTCCCTTGGTCAGTGGCTCCTTAACCAGCCCCCAGCTACCTTTTTGCTGCCCCCTACTACTATGGCTTCTACAACAATCGGCTGCAGGCATACTGCAAGCAGAACCTGGAGATGAATGTGACTGTGCAGAATGTGCTGCAGGTATAGCCCACCTCTCCCTCTGGGGGTAGGGGAGGTGGGACAGTGCCTCAGAGTTATTGCCATTGCAGATCCTGGAGGCCGCTGACAAGACACAGGCACTGGACATGAAGCGGCACTGCCTCCATATCATTGTGCACCAGTTCACCAAGGTCAGGGCCTGTCTTGATCCAGAGCTCATGAATTCAGCCCTCCTCATCAGTACTTCATGGAGGTGGGGGGTGCATCTGGGCTGGGCCAAGCAAACTATACCCATTGGCCACTGTTTGGTCCTCAGAGTCAGCCCAAGCCCAGAGAAGGTTGGGCCCCAAAGAACTCAGCCACCCACCTTGGCCCTTTTAGGAATCTGGTTCTGTCTCATTTTGGCATTTTGGTCATCTGTACAGGTCTCCAAGTTACCCACACTGCGGTCACTGAGTCAGCAGTTGCTGCTGGACATCATAGACTCTCTGGCCTCACACATCTCTGACAAGCAGTGTGCAGAGCTGGGTGCTGACATTTGAGAGCACCATTGATATCAAACCAGCATGGAAAATGATGCCAGATTGGTTGGCCCACTGCAAAGATTGCTCTGGACATTCCTGTGTCTGCAGTGTAGCTGTTCCTGTGGAGTCAAGGATCAGGGTGCTCAGAGCCTCCAAATGGAGCTCAGCAGGTGCAGGGGACCCCAAAAACCTCATTTCATTGATGTGGACAAAGGACCCACAGGGTTGGAATAGTGAAATAGATCCCCTTTTAAGCTTTACCTTTTCCTGGGTGGGAGGCCATGATTGAAGTGACTGGGACACTACAGGAGACAGGGGACCTGGGCATCAACTAGTAATGGGGAGACTAGAAGGTTAACTTCAGAGCTGGGCATGGGCTTTGGAACACTCAGCCTGGCCCCTGTGGTCTTATGGATTCAAGAGTAGTTTCCTGTTATAAGGGCCCCTCTGACATGGTGAAGGGGGCTTGGCAGAATTACTGTGGCATAAGGGAGTTCCCCTGCACACTGCCCCACAACTCTCAAGAGAAGTCCATGTAAAGAGTCCCTCTGCCCACCAGGACTTGTGAATACAGACCAGTGACAGGAGGTCTGCTCTTGACTCTGGAGACTAATTTTGGAGTGAAGAACCCAAGGTCAGTTCCCAGCGCAGCATAGTCATGCTGGGCTAGGAGTGGCTTCCAGAAGGGCTGCAGATTCCCAACTCATCTCTGTGTAGGGGCAAAGCAGAAGTCAGCAGAGATGCCCCCAAGTATTTAATCTGTCATGGGCATGCTTCCATTAAAGTCAAAGCAGTGCTACCTACACATACTGTTATTGTCTCCATTAGTGACCTGCGGTTCTCAACCTCTGTGCCCTCCCACAGTGCAGCACAGGCTGTGCAGCAGCCTGATGGTTTGGTTGACCCCCCAGACACAGGTTCAGCCAGCCTTGCCTTTCTATCTATATATGCCCTCCTACCACCTGGTGTCACCCAGTCAAGAGAGAGAAAAAGTATAGGAGGTGTCCAGGCTGGCCCCTCCCCAAGAGCCCTGCAGTAGGGCTCTATCTCTGTTGGGTCCCAGGGAAGGCTACCCTCTTGCCTGGGCAGGGAACTGAGGAAAGATCAGAAAATCATCCTATTATCCAAATAGAACCCGTATCAATCCATTCTGATGGAGGAGGCTCAGTTGTGCTTTTCCAGGAACCAGAATGCAGGACCTGCATTGTCCTATCAGGAAGCCAGAGTGTACCTTGGGAAACATCTGTTCTCTTCTGACACATTTCCCTCCTCTGGTTGAGCTCCACCCAGACATGGTCCTGCCATGGGCCCCAAGTGGCTGCAAATAGGTGGAGGTAGGGTATCCTTGCAAGATAAGCAGGGAAGTGAAGGAGGTGTGGAGCAGAAGCTGAAGAAGGTGGCTAGCTGAGTGACAGTCCCTATGAAGGAGCAGCAGGCTAGAATTGAGAAGACAAGGGGCAGCCTGGGTTGGGCAGTAAGACATACCAGGTATAAATGACTCATTGTGCCAGAGACACCTGCCAAGTTTCCACCAGTTGTAGTCTTATCATACCCCCAGGGCAGCCTTGCCAACCCTGTCTTAGAGAGACAGGCCTGGAAGCCTCACGAACAATAATCTGTAAACTCTGCTCTATGGAGACCCTTGTAACTGGACCCTTGAGTATCTCTTCTAGGCGAGATAAGAATAAATTAAATTAAAGCAAGTATGAGAACATTGTTATGACCAGAAAGTCAGGTGTGCTCCTTGTGCTACAAGGCCAAGGGGACTAACAGGGAGAGACCATGCTGGTATTAAGAATCAGCCTATGCATTTTGCTCTTTGCCACTTCACAAAATGAAGACTTTCAAGTTCTCATTTGCTGAAGAAAAATGACACTGAGGCCAGGATCTATCTACCTCCTCTTCCCAAACTTCCAGGATCTAATTTTTTTTCTTGCTAGGCCTCATTACTAGCCAAGCAGAGCATCCACAAGTCAGTGATAGTCATCATCATTCCCTTTTTTTTTCTGATGGAGACCAACCAAATATTAAGCAGTGCAGGGGATAGCCTTCTGACCTGCCAGGCAGGTGAAAAGAAGCTTACTGTGCCTTTGTATATTATGAATGTTCTTAAAGGGGCTGGCTTGCTTCAATCAAGATTGTTTCAAGACCCAAGTTAAAGACTGCTTGGCACTGTGCAGTGGTCCATACAGATACTGTTCTGTCCTTCAGAGAACCCTATTGAGTTGTATAAACAGGAGTCTCTAATACCTGTTCACCTCTGAAACACTGAAAGGGGTAGTTAGGGTCTAGAGTTGTGGCAGAGTGCTTGCCTAGCATGTATAAGAACTGGGTTCAATCCTGAGCACCACATAAATTATTACCAGCTAGCGAGGCTGGCGACCTGAGCTGGGTTCACAAGATCTGGCTGCACCAGCAACTTATGGTGAAAGAAGCACTCAACACACAGAAATACATTTTGCCTGCAGGACTCAGGGACAGTTCTCGACCTTAAGGGTCTGTTGGAAAGAGAGAACTTGCACCTAGATTCTTTATTTTAATGGGAGGGGGGGGCGGCACACAGAAGGAAGTTCCATGGAATGTTCTTTCCAAATAAGGCAAGGGGCAGGTTTCAGAGGATTGAGTCTAGCTTCCTGATGTCTTATGGTCAGCAGATTGACATCTTGGCTAGTCACAGGCACGGAGAGAGGAAAGTGCATATGTGTGTTGCACAGCCCAAAGAGCATATAACACCAGGCCAGTCCTCCCATCCGCTTGAATGTTCATAGCTCACACAGTCCATGGCTCGCTTGCAACAATGAATAAATTAAAATAAAGGCATTGTGTCCATCTGCAACTAAAAAAAAAAATCTTAAAAATTAGGAACCAGGATCTCAGCTCCCCACAGCCAATCATTTTGGGTCTCTCTGGGGACTGCCAACACTGTCTGGTGGGAACAAGGTTCGAACCCTGAAGTGAGCCAGATAGCAAGACAGCCTTCTAGAATCTACTTTTATATGGTATCTGGTGGATCACATAGGTCCAATTCTGATCCTGTGCTTGGTAGACAGATAAATAAGGATGTTAGAAACTTCAGCCTTGATGGGTGGATCCTCCTTCAGATCATGCTGCTACTCATCTGCACAGCAAAGTTCTACACATGCTCCTTCAGAGTCTGGCGGATATCTGCCTGTGCCAGCTTCTGATGCAGGTTTGTCAGCTGCAGCGCTGCTTCTCTGCCTGCAAGCCTGGAGCTGGCACTGGACCTTCTACAGAATATTGCCTACCTGGCAACTGGTCATTTAGAACATAGGCTCTGATGGAGGTATGGCAAGAAAGTTGAAGGGGAGATAGGATAAGGCTTGAGAGAGGGATGCTACTGTTCTGGTAAGGGCTGGGCATCTAGAGAACCTAGAAAATCTGGGAAGAGGCTCTCAGATCCTGTGAAAGAAAAAGTGGCAGGTTCTGAGGCTTTTTTTTTACAGGAAAGCAGGTGACATCAGCAGGAGGAGTTACAGAATGGAGCTGCAGAGCCCTTCAAAGCAGCTGGAGAGAAGAGAAAAAGAGACCAACAGACCACATTTCACAGCACTGACCTAATACATGAACCCCATCAGAAAATTAGTATAATAAAAACCACATCTGGGTAGATACCATAAAGCCCTCTTTCTGTCATGAGATGGGAGTAAGTGGAGGGAATCTCTGACCCACAGAATATACTGTTTCGGATATATATATATATATATATATATATATATATATATACACACACACACACACACACATATATATATATATTTATATATATTTTGTACCAGGGATTGAATACAGGGGTGCTTAACCATTTAACCACTGAACAACATCCCTAGGCATTTTTTTAAATTCTCTTAAGATACTTGGGGCTCACTTTATTCTCACCAACAATTCAAGAATATTCTATTTTACACTGAATGCATTTTTATTTTTTAATATAAGGCCTTGTTAAATTGCTGAGAATAGCTTTGAACTTGGACTCCTCTTGCCTTAGCCTAATGAACTGCAGTGATTATAGGCAGGAACTACTGCACCCATCACATACCACTTCTTCCATTCTCAAATCAGGTAACTCTGGAGGCCGCTTGGAAAACTGGGCCCCTTGGTCTTGGTTATCCAGTGCAATTTGGAAAAAGACTCAGATATGGTGGGAACTGCCCCTTCCTTCAGCCTGTGATAGCCACTGTGGGGGAAAAGCAGCCCTAATGAGCTGAAGAACAAGTGCTGCCACTTGGGCCATCTCCCTCTGGTACCCAATACAGCTTCCCTAGTACTGGGGTTGTGGCAGGCTGGAAGGCACATAATAAACAAGTTTGAGACAATGCCACGTTAGGCAGAATCCCACCAATCTCTTAAAGCTGAGATGGATGAAGCAGCTCCACCAACAGGGCTGGACAGACCAGCCAAAAAGAATTCTTTTTGTGGGCTTGCTGGGAGGCCTGGGTGAGGAACACTCCCTGGAACAGCTGTTTTTCTCTGGTGTTACTGGCAAAGTGAAACTGGCAAAGTGAAACTGGGAGTGCGCTTTACTGTACACAAAGGGGAAGGGAAAGCAGCACTTTTGGAACCATGGCTGCCTGTCCACCTGGCAAGCTGTCCTCAGGGCAGCTGCTCAGGGACTGCCTCTTCAAGACACAGCTGCCCCGCTGTATACTATGCTGACACCCCACACCCTGCCCAATGCTGGCTGGCAAGGAAGCCCACCTGATTCCCACCAGCTCAAAGCAGTTCTCCTCGAAATGTTTGGAGCAGAAGTAAATGTACTCAGAGGCAGGGTCCCACAGGCCCTGGCCGCTGGGGTCCAGCCGCTGACAGTTGGCCAGCCACAGGCTACGCCTCGGATTGTCCTTCTTGGGAAGTCTGCAGAACCACAAACCCATGAGAACCAGGCTGCCGGAGCCCCTGGGCTCATGCTGTTCAAGTTCCCCAGGGAGGAAGAGTAGGCCCTGCACATGGCGCCAGGAGACCTCCCTGTGACCCTGTCGAAGAAGTACCCCCGCTACCTCTGGCACAGACCAGGAAACTGAGCCCTGGCGAAAGCAGGCAGCGCGCTCAGGGTCCGCTGGCTGGGAAGAGAAAGCACCAAGTCTAAGCCTAGTAAGGGTGGATCGGACTCGGGCGCAAAAGGTCCGCCCCCTTCGCCCGCCCACCCACAGGTTCAGGCCTCATGCGGCTTGGAGGAAGGGGAGGGACGACAAAACGCATGCGAGACAAAACGCATGCGAGACGTCGCGCACTAACACGCACTGCGCCGACCTGTGGAAAGAGATGCCGCGGTTGCGCGTTTCGCGACTATCCCGTGTGCAGCAGCCGGCGGCCGAGCAGTGGCGCGGCATCTGGGGAAGAGGCGGGAGCTTGGTCGCTGGCGGCCGTCCGGCCCCCGGAGTGGCTTCATGACCCCGGCTGTCACGCCCTCCAGGGAAAAGTGTCTCGGAGGGACCCCAGTAGCCCGATCTCGGACCAAACCTGTTCCAGCCCGTTTTCCTTGAGTTCTGTCAGCGGCACTCACAGTCCCGCTATTGCTGCGTAGCGGAATTCTCGCGAGTAGTGGCGCTTAAGGGGCGCGAACGGCTCTCGCGAGCAGGGGTGGGGTGGGGGGGTGGGGGGGGTGGTGCCGAAAGAGTTTCCCAGCCGGCTGGCGCTGGAAGCAGCGGGCTTTGTCGGGTGTCGCGCCTGCGTCCGGTTAGGACCCTGGGACGCTCATCCCACTCCTGGGATGCTCGTCCCACTCCTGGGTCTTTCCTTTGTCCAAAGGCCAGCTCTTCGTAAACGCTCCACACGTTTGAAGGGGCTTTCTGGTGCTGGTCCGTGCTGCGTGTCCACGATGCCCCGGGATTCTCGAAAGCCCGCCGTCACGCAAAGGAAGGACTCCCTAACTCAAGAAGGCGCTCGCGCACACAAACGGGTCCAGGACTCTTGGGAAGAAAAACAACCCACCAGAACCCTCTGCTCAAACTTGACACATCTTTCCGGGGGCGAGGATTTGAGGGAGTGTTTGCAGGCTGTGGCTCTTGAGTACACTTTGGGTAATTCTGGAGGTTCTGTTGTCTCCCACACTGGCATGCGAGCAGTGGAGGAAGGCTAAGAACGTATGTGGAAAAGGAAGTTAAGAACTGGGTTGACACAGCCCTAGGCGGAGTCCACTGCACCCCGAATGATTACTGGGTGAAACCCTTCACGATGTTGGAGGAAACAGACATCAGTGTGTCTGCCAGACAAGAATGCCAGGAAGGACTAAAGAGAATGCTCAGATTGAAGACATTGATAATTCCCTTAGGAAGCCCTTCCGGGAGGAATGCAGTACTTAAGCATACAAACGTGCCTACCAATTCTCTAAAAGAAACAAAGGGATATATTTTCTCCTGAGGAATCCACTGGCAAAAGCGGGCCTCTAGACAGGCACTTTGATCAAAGTACAGCACACAGAACAAATAATGCCTCAATAAACAAATTTTAATAGGTAAATATATCCTGTAAATGTTACAGTGTGCGCGCCCAGGAGAGAGAGTGAAAGGGAGAGTTGCTGCCAGTCATACCCTCCCAGTCAGTATTCTTCCCCTTCTTCAGCCTCTGCTTCCACAGAATCCACGCCCACCTCTTCATAATCCTTCTCCAGCGCTGCCAGGTCCTCTCGGGCCTCTGAGAATTCCCCTTCCTCCATGCCTTCTCCCACATACCAGTGCACAAAGGCCCGCTTGGCATACATGAGGTCGAACTTATGGTCCAGGCGGGCCCAGGCCTCCGCGATGGCAGTGGTGTTGCTCAGCATGCACACAGCCCGCTGCACCTTGGCCAGGTCTCCTCCAGGCACCACTGTGGGGGGCTGGTAGTTAATGCCCACCTGCCAGGGAAGAGGAACAACAAGAGTGAAACTGATGTAGGTTTCACATATGATGGCTTATTGAAAACTGGAGCACTGATCCCAGTTTAAACAATGCCCTGGCCTGGGATTGTATGTAGCTCAGTGGCCCTGGGTTCTAGCCTCAGCACCACATAAAAACAAATAAATACAATAAAGGTTAAATCTTAAAAACAGTGCCCTGTAGAAATTGGTACTAGCATTTTGGCATAAACTGTCAACATTTAACCATACTGCTTTTAGATTCACCCACAGGACAACATAAAATAAGATGTTTCAGTTTTTTTTTTAAACCTTTTTTTTTTTTAATGTGGTGCTGAGGATTGAACCCAGTGCCAAACTTGTGCCAAGCAAGCACTCAATTGCTAAGCCGCAACCCCAGTCTGATGTTTTAGGGATTTTTTTTTTTTTATTTTTTAATGAAGGTATTTTATTTATTTATTTTTATATGGTGCTGAGGATTGAATGTGTGATAGGCAAGCGCTCTACTGCTGAACCCAAACACCAGCCCTATGTTTTAGGTTTTTAAGTACAGAGCTGAATCTTTTTTCTAATGGAAAAGCTAGAAAGGATCGTCCATTTATAAGCAACCAGTTCAGTCATATTACATCTCTAAAGTAAAACAAGAAAAGAATGAGGGCTGGGGTTAGAGCTCAATGGTAGAGCACTTGCCTAGCATGTGTGAACCACTGGGTTTGATCCTTAGAACCCCATTAAAAAAAAAAGCCATTCTGTCCATCTCCCAACAACAAAAAACATTTATTAAAAATGCAATATTACGGGCTGGGGTTGTGGCTCAGGATTGAGCACTCACCTAGCACATGCAAGGCCCTAGGTTCGATCCTCAGCACCATGTAAAAATAAATAAAATAAAGGTATTGTGTTAACTACAAATAAAAAATAATTAAAAAAAAAAACAATATTACGGGGCTGGGGTCATGGCTCAGCCTACCACGTGCAGAGCCCTGGGTTTGATCCTCAGCACCACATATATATCAATAAAATAAAGGTATTGTGTCCAACTACAACTAAAAAATAAATATCTTTAAAAAAACAATATTACTTAAAAAACAAAAGAAAGCAAGAAAAATGAATTGAGAACCCAGTTCAGGTATATCAATTGCCTAGGGTTTGATGTATAGTCATTAAAGAAAACAGTTGAATTTTATGTAGTTAAGTGTGTGTGGGGAGTGGGAGAAAGCCTCAGACGCTACTGGAACATGCTCTGAAACTGAAGCACATGAATACCTGGGAGTGTGTTGAGTCAGTGACCCTGCACTATCCTGTGAACAGAAGTAGTTAGCAGGAGCTCTACACAAAGCTAGGCTCCAGAGGCTTTAGAAGGGGTAGAGGGAAGAGCACAGGAGCTCAAACTCTTGATGGAGGGGTTGCCCTCCCACAACTTTAAAGCCCAGCCAACTAGCCCTTGTAAGTGGCAGTGCTGCCAGATTTCCTGTTCTGTGTGGCCACTTGTATGCAGGAATTTGGGTCTGCCACCTACAGGAAAGGAACATGCATCCTTTGCCCATGTCTGTGACCTCTCTGTCAGCCAGCATCATCTGTATAACAAGAGGCATACCATACCTGAAATAGGCAAAGACATCTCTTAAAGGACAAAAAAGCTCTGGAGAAGGGGAAGAGGATTTCAGCTTTTCAGCCTTCTACCTTGTTTTAATATTTTGCCAGTGATTTTGTAGTATAAAAAGGCCAAATGATGGGGCTGGGGTTGTGGCTCAGCAGTAGAGCACTTGCCTAGCACGTGCAAGGCCCAGGGTTTGATCTTCAGCACCATATAAAAATAAATAAATAAAATAAAGGTACTGTGTCCAACTACAACTAAAAACTAAATAGTAAAAATAAATAAATAAATATAAAATAAAATGGGTCAGGGCTGTGGCTCAGTGGTAGAGCATTTGCCTAGCATGCGTGAGGCACTGGATTTGATTCCTGGCACCACATACAATAAATAAATAAAAACAAAAGATGTTGAGTATTAAAAAATAAAAGCCAAATGGTTTTAATGGAAGAGACTCCTTGAAAATAGTGTATCCCTCAGCAAATTGTTGCAAAAGAATGGGTGCCAAGTCATACTCTGACAAAAAAGAACTTAGAGCAAGGAGAATTCAACAAGGCCCACCTGGTGCCAGATGGTCTTCTATAAGAGGACAGCAGAGGCTATGACACACTTTACTACAGACTTGCCTCCCTGCTGTCTCTTAGAACAACTCAGCTAGGACAGCAAACCTAGGCAAGCATCCTGTACATGCCCTGCCAACTGAGGCTGCTTTATATGTCCTCAACTCCCAAATGTCACACTTACTGGAAAAATATTCTTGCTGTTCAATCCAAAGGCTTAAAAATTAGAAACAGAATGGAAAGTTTCAACAACTACCTGTAACCTCTAACTAGCGTCTGCTATCCCCTGTATTACATTTGATGACTACTTCAAGGTCAGCAAAGTCTGTAGTAAATTTTACCTGCTTCTATGAGTTACTTTAAACATGTCAAATTAAAAATACCCTATTACCAATAATCTGTGTGCAGATGTCTTTGTGAACTGGGGCTGAGAACTTTCAAAACGCTTCCTATAGTAATAGGCAAGCCATGGCCATTCCACACCAGAAGAAGATGATTAACACACATTCCGTTTTCAGTCTGGAATGACCCTGGAACTTTACCTCCCCCAACACCTCAGGAACTTATCAGGGCTTACAAATGTGGGGGCCAGTTGGGCTTGGTGGAGCACACCTGTAATCCCAGCAACTTGGGAGGTTGAGGCAGCAGGATTCAGAGTTGAAAGTCAGCCTTAACAGTTCAACGAGTATATAAGCAACTTAGGGAGACTCTGTCTCAAAATAAAATACAAAAAGTGTTGGGGATGTGTCCCAGTGGTTAAGAGCCACTGTGTTCAATCACTGGTTCCTAAAAAAAATTGGGGCCCAGAGCTTTGTCTAAATGGAAAACTATTGTAAATAAGGACTGATATCCACAAACCAGAGGGTAAAGAGTTGAGGAACACAGGTATGGGGAAGCATTTAGTCTGATAATCCAACAGGTGTTACAGCCTGAGAGTCTAGGATGGCTTCCACATACATGGTGCTTTCCTCATAGTAGTCGTTAAACATGGCTAAGGGAACCTTGAAAATTTCATTGTGATTTTGTATATGAGACAGAGATCCCAGCCTGGTTTGGGGAGATAAGAGCAACCTACCCTTTTCCCCATACTTAAATGCTTAGGGCTGGGGATGTGGCTCAGTAGTAGAGCGCTTGCCTCATAGGCATGGAGCACTAGGGTTGATCCTCAGCACCACTAAATAAATAAATTAGGAATTGTGTCCATCTACAACTAAAATTTTTAAAATAAAAAAACACTGAGATACAGGTTTAACAATCCATTCACAAAAACATAAGTAATGCCTAAAATTCAGAGACAACAGGTGACCAACATCAAGTAAAGTAAAAATCTACCATTTGGACCAACCAAAATGGAATCATAGGCCCTGACAAATGTCTAAAGCCAGCAGTGAGGTGAGGGAAATCATATCAGGATCTGCTGTCAGACCATTTCTAAATTTTCCTTCCCATTACTTGCAGGCCCCTGAGGCTTTGGACACTTAAAGGTGTCTCAGCCTCAGTCTTCTAAACTATTAAGAAACTGGTAACACAAACCTCACCATCAACTTTAAAGCATGGTTTTAA